GGATGAACAGTCATTTTTCCATTACAACAGCTGACATCAGGCTTCTACTTGCCCGCTCTTGGGGTTTTTTCCTGGTAAAACAAGTCAAGCAATACCCTAGTTGGCTGCCCATATATACCGCCGTTAAGAATACCATACCCTAGGTGTGCCTGAGTGGCTCCAGGTCATGATCTCGTGGTTCACGAATTCGGGCCCCGCAGTGGGCTCTGTGCTGACAGCTCAGAGCCTGGAGCCTGCTTCAGATTCTGAGTCTCCCTCTCTCTCTCTCTACCCCTTCCCAGATTGTACCGTCTGTCTCTCTCAAAAATAAATGAAATGTTAAAAAATTAAAAAAAAAAAAAAATACCATACTCTAGGGGTGCTTGGGTGGCTCCATTGGTTAAGCACCTGACTCTTGGTTTCAGCTCAGGTCATGATCTCATGGCCTGTGAGTTGGAGCCCCACGTCAGGCTCCATGCTGACAGTGCAGAGTCTGCTTGGGATTTTCTCTCTCTCTGCCCTTCGCCCCCAAAACAAATAAATATACCCCCTCAAAAAAGAATACCATACTCTATCAGCAACACCGAGGGTCAAGACACACAGCTGCGAGTTGGGCCTTACAGCCCACCATGAGTGCTGGCCCACCATACCTCTGGCGGCTAGTGCTGCCACCTGGCCTCCGCCATTTCAAATCCCGTCATCCTCACAGGCCCTCAGGAACCCAATTCCACGTCACACCTTCTGAAGTCAATTCTGGCCCCCAGGGGACAGCCGACACCAAGCTTCTCAGAGATGCTGGCCTCCCTGGGTATTCCTGCTACCAGAGAGAAGGGAGTGAGCCCTCCCGGGAACACTGGCCTCAAGTAATAAATCGATTTCAAATCTCCGCCTCCCTACACCCCTGATCCCTTCCTCAACACCCAGCCAAGACAGTTCTGGCATCTCTACCTGCTCTACTGTAGGCCAGGCCCTCCCGGCACCACTGACATTTTGAGCCAGATCATCCTTTTCTGCAGGGAGGCAGAAGAAACAACCCCCCAGTTTTGACAACCCACAACATATCCGGACATGCCAAATGCCCCACAGGGAGGCCAAATCGCCCCAGCTGAGAACCAGGGGTACCGATCCTTGTCCCGTCCAAGTTTCAAGGAATCTGTCCAGCAGATTGGCTCTAGTCACTCTTGCAAGATCATTAGTTAAATCCTGAATCCCAAGAGACCGCTCCCAAAGCAACACAGCCTGCCCCAGGCAGCTTTAGTCCACAGCTACCCCACTCCTCACCTGACACCCACCAGACTCGGCAGTACACGTGCGCCCCCAGCCCCGGCTCCCTCCTGTGAGCCGGGTCCTACAGCCCTGTCCGTACAAAAGCTACTTCTCCAGCAGCAGACACTGTACTTGCCGCTTAGGCAGCGCTGAGATCTGGGGGCTGGGGGGAGGCAGATCTTGAGGATAAACACCATCCCGCAGAGAAACAGCCTTAAGCGAGGTCGTGAAGTCTTTGCAGAGTGTCCAAAAAGCAGTGGATACTTCTGCTCGCCCAGAGGATCCAAGGAAATCTGGGAGTTCAAAGTTCTCCACGCCCCTACCCAAAGATCTCCATACTGGTCTCACACCTGACTTTAGCAGAGGCCACCTGCCAAGGCTGTGCAGTCAGCCTCCTCTGCAGTTCTGCCATAATTATGGTTAAGTTCTGGGCCTGACGTTCAAAAGTCTGCCCTGCAGCCACAGGAGACGCTGCCACAGAGCCTTCTGGTGCTCACAGTGCATCCTGAGCTGATAGCTGGCTGCTCTGGCCTGACCTTGCCTCAAGGCTCCAAGGAAGACAAGAGACAGCCAAGTCCGCTAGCCTCATCATTACCATTGTCCGTATACTGTCCAAGTGCTAGAGTCCCTGTACCAGCCCCTGCCTCCCCTTCTCCCTGCACCGCATCCCTCCAGCTGTGGGCGAGAGTCACGTGACTATGACACCAGAGGGTCCCCGCGGTTACCAATACCAGCAGAGGGGGCCTTGTTGCCATCTGAGGGTGAAGGATCCAGTTTCACAATACTAGCCTCCGGGCTGGCTTTCCAGAGCCACTTCTAGTACCAATGGTCTCAGCATATGATCTGCCAAACTACGGAAAGAAGCTTGAAAGCAGGTGGCTGGCAGAGTGGCACACAGAGCCAGAGTGAGGGACAAAGGAGAGGAGAACAGAAAGCCATTAGGTTTACCACACTGAGCGGGAAATGGGCTCCTGTTCTCTGCAGAAGGATCCCTCTGCAGGACTATCCAGAACACACCTCTGAACTGTCTCTTTGAAGGACCAGAAGCTACAGTATTCATCCACTGAAGCCCACCCCCCAGTGGCTGAGGGCTATTCCGAGATATAAACCCACATTTCCGAGGTACGCCCTGCACAGGCTAAGTGAGCTCCCACAAGTTTTTGCCAAATAGCTGATAGATACTGTGAGTGCCTGAGGTAGAATAAAAACTATTATAAAATGAGGGGGAAAGCCTTTCCTTAGAAAGGAAAGGAAAGAATGAGACATGGGGGGAAAAGTCCCTTACTCAGTGGTGCTTCAGAAATAGAGAACTTTCTTGGTGAGCACCCACATACCTTTTATGTACCTTATCACAGTATCTGCCATTATATTAAATATTTGCAAGTCTGGGGGGCAGCTGGGTGGCTCCGTTCATTAGGCGTCCCACTTCAGCTCAGGTCGTGATCTCATGGTTAACAGGTTGGAGCCCTACATTGGGCTCTGTGCTGACGGCTCAGAGCCTGGAGACTGCTTTGGATTCTGTGTCTCCCTCTCTCTCTGCCCCTCCCCTGCTCACACTCTGTCTCTCTCTCTCAAAAATAAACATAAAATAATAAAAATAAAAATAAATATTTGCCAGTCTGTCCCTTCTACTGGTTGTCATGTCCTTGCAGTCAGTCAGTTTCCACACACAGATGCACGGAAGGATGTATTCCCCAAACCATCACCCAAGGAAATAAGGAATAATCTTTCCATCCAAAGAGGACACTCACTGCCACCACCACGTTCAAAGCCCCTGATGCTGAGCTCCTGGGAAGACGACAGACTGAAAGGGTCTTCAGCTAAGTAATCTGGTCCATGTCATACCAGAACCTGGATGAAACAAGAATTTCACAAGAAAGCCCTACAAACTTTATCTCCCTTGAAACACATCAAACCTGTCCCTGCACAACACTGGAATCACCTGGCTAGCTGTCAAGCACTGAGTCACTGGAAAAATCTTTTAACTCCACACTCAGCTGTCAGGATGAGCTGCATTTTCTGTTCCTGGAACTATTTATTCCTAAAATCTGCCTGGAAAACCCTTTCCCTGGTGCTTCAGGCTATCTCCAGTCCATTTAGTCCAGTGCTTTGAGTCACAATCTCTTGTCTTAACCTTTCTAGAAGACCCCTCACAACTGAACTCCCAGGGCCCCTGCTACACTGGAACTCAACCCAACTCTGCCTGAAAACAAAGGAACCAAATATTAGCAAAGCCAGGAAAATCTGCAATTCACTGCCTTACCTGATAGGGTTCTTTATCATTAAAGTAATATTATGGCTGGCCATCCCTAAAAATGGTTTTCAAGGGGGAGAAAAATGCTTCTTTGTGGTAATTATAATACAGTACATATACTAATAACTTTATTGAGGACTTACTACGTGCTACAATCTGTTTGAAGCATTGTGCATTAATTTAATCTTTCTAACAGTGCCATGTGACAAGCTATTATTATCCTCATTTTTTACAGACAGGGAAAGTGCAACGGGAAGGCTAAGGAACTTGCACAATGTCACAAAACTAGAAAATGCCAAGGCTAGGATGTGGAGGATAGTTGCCTGGCTCTGGAGCCTGAGCTCTCAAACTCCATGCCTCCCCCAGTTACCTTTAAACCCCTAGATTAGAACTACCTTTTTCATTCCTCCATTAGCGAAGCCAGCATAACGTGAGGGACCCAAACCTATCCATACCCACCATATGCAGCCAGAAGTCTTAAGTCAGCGGAAGTGAGAAATGTTGGAAACTGACTCATATACTACCGCGAATAGCCGCTGAGCTCTGAAACTTACAAACCAAGTCCAACTTAAGTCCTCAGAGCACTCAACGGACTTCGAAGAGTTGAAATTGGCATGTTTGGGGTGCCTGGGTGGCTCAGTAGGTTAAGCATCCATCCGACGTCCGCTCAGGTCATGATCTCCAGGGTTCGTGAGTTCCAGCCCCTGCCTCAGGCTCTGTGCTGACAGCTCAGAGCCTGCAGCCTCCTTCGGATTCTGTGCCTCCCTGTCTCTCTGACCCTCCCCTGCTCGCACTCCTTCTCTCTCTTTCTCAAAAATAAATAAACATCAAAAAATATTTTAAAAAATAAAGTTGGCATGTTTCTATTTCAAGGCATCTTCAGACAAGGAGCAAGTCAAGGACCCTTCCAGATTAGCAGCTCCCAGTAAGTTACACCAAGCAATCATTTGAGTCCCGAAACTGTACACATAGGTCTGGTTCCCACCGCCAGTAGTAAACCTCCAAACGCCTCTGAGCTTCGGGCCGATGCCCAGACTCAGGGCATCCTTGGCCACCTTCCCCACCAGTCTTCTTTCCGCGCTGGGGCACAACGCACCAGAACCTGCCGGGATCCCACGGGCCGCGGGAGAGCCCGGCGCGCCAGAACGCGCCCCGCAGGGAAGCAGCGCCCCGCAGCTCGCGGGACGGCGGTGGCAGCGGGATGGCAGAGGTCACCGCGCAGGGTGGGCCCTGCGGGAAAGGAAGCTGCGGGGTCCGGAAACACAGGAGAGGTGCGGGCGGGGGTAGGCGTGGGCAAGGCCGACAGGTGGGCACCCAAGCGCGGGGCGGGCCCGCGGGCGGGCGCGGAAACCAAAGCGCTCCCACAGCTGGAGAAGTAGCGAGCGGCCCCGGCGGGGGTGGGGTCGCCTCTCACCGCCCTCAGGCCTCTGCGCGGCCCGCGGTTCCCGGCTGCCCGGCCCGACTCCGCCGCGGCCCCCGAGGCCTTCCGAGCCGCGCTTACCTCGGCCACGGTTGCCTCCCGCTCGGCCCCGCGCTCGGTCACCGGCGCATGCCGCGGGGCGCGGGCCACGGCCGCCCAGGAGGGATCGCGCCGAGTCGCCGGCCGCCACCGCCGGCGCCGGGGCTGCGCGAGCGAGCTGGGAAACGGGCGCCAGCGACCGGGCTTCGCGACGTCTGACACCGAGCGCAGTGCGCATGCGGGAGCGGCCGGGTCCGCGCCCCCTGCTGGACAGGAGGAGTCAGGGCACCGCTTGGGATGTCTCCCTGGCAGGCAGGCGCCGCTCAGGCTCCACCCTGAAACTCTCACGCAAGGTCAGCGGGCTCGTAGTCAAAGCAAATAGCTTCGACTGCAGACCCAAAGAGCTAGGCACCGTGCTTCCCTTATAAAGCTGATACAGGCGTAAACGTTTTATTACAAGCAGCACCGTTGAGCGTGCAGATTTCTGGAGGACAATTTGGCAGTATCCATCAAACGTGAAATGCCCGCAACCTTGCCCCTCCAATACCCCACAGGTATTCTCGACAACGTTTACCAGAATTACTCATCACAGCATTGTTCCTACTAGTAGGTGAAAACCGGAATCCAGCAAAATAAACTATGGAAAAAGTTATGATTAGAATAGAATCATGTGAGAATGTGTATAGATGTCGGGATAGAAATAATCTCGAAGGTGTGTTAACAAGAATGCATGCTCTAAAACAGTGAGCAAGTATGATCCCTTTTCTGCAAAATATATTTATAAAAAAACGGGAGAGAAAATATACATGTGGATGTTTATATTCAAGCGTATGTATAATATTTTTTTCTGGAAGGAATCCAAGAAGCATGAACACTTGTAGGGGGAGAAACTGCGGAAGTAGAAATGGGGGAAAGACATTGTTTTGTTTTCTTTTCTGTATGACTTACATGATCTAGCCTTATAGAGGCAGAGTAAAACCCCTGTCAAAAGGCATAGGTGGAGTCTAAAATTAAATCAAAATGCAGAGTGGTGTTATTGAGCGGGTAATGAGATGACCCCATTGAGCTTGTGCACTTTACAGGTAACTGGCAGCAGAAGCCAAATCCATTTGAGGCCCAGCTATCCCTTAGCGCCATCTGGTGGAAGTCATCACTTACAGCTTCATTTTCAGGGGAATGTTTCTGAGTCAGGCACGGGGCGGGGGGAGGGGGTTCCCGACACAACCGTGATCCCGTGGATATTCTTGTGAGTTAATGCCTGCTTGTCACAGACCCAGGGAGACTGGGATGAGAGTATTCTGGAGATGGGAAACCCACATTTTGCTTCTCCATATCCAAGAGAGTATTGCTCTGCCCTCCGAGTCCACATCTTCCCCAAACCAAAGGAAATTTAGCACAGGTACGTACACCTCATTTAATAAATGGAAAGATGGAAGATATTTTTTCTTCTTTGCCTTCCTCTGCATTAAATATATCTATAATATATATGCTTTTCATAAACCATTATTCTTTCATTAAATGAGGACTTTCTGTGTTAATGACCTGTGTTAGGCACAGCCTCTGAGGAACCTGCCTATCTTACTTACTTTTTATAACCCTAGACATGTATAGTGCCTGGCACACATAAGTGCTCAGTGAATTGATTAAAGGTTGCCCAGGCAAAGGTTGCCCAGGTGGACTTCAGTAGAATAAGGCAAGAACACAGGCAAGATTAGCCAAAACAGAGGGTAGAAAGTGGTGTGGGAGAATATTCACAAAGTGCTTTAGGGCTCAAAAGAGAAAGCAATCACATCCAGTTGCAAAGATGTGTGAAGACTTCACCCAAGAGCTAATATCTTTGCTGTGAATAGGGCATTCCAGACAGCAAAAAAAGTCATGAGCAAAAGCCCAGATGAGAAGCAGGTGATATAAAAGGAGAAGCCATCAGAGAGACCAAGTGTTTTTTAATCCAGTGTAACTGGGACGATGTGGCTACATTTCTAGGGGTAGAAACCATGCTAGTGATTGGAGGTGAGAAAGCACAGAAGCTGTGATGTCAGAAGCCATATAAATGCTAAATAAAGCAGGTGAAGATGACAGCAGAGAAGAGTAGGGAATAAAACTATAAGCCAGACCTGAAGCCTCTGAGAAGGTAGAAAAGTCTTAGCGGTGGGGCGCCTGGGTGGCTCAGTCGGTGAAGCGTCTGACTTCAGCTCAGGCCATGATCTCCTGGTTTGTGAGTTCAAGCCCCACATCAGGCTCTGTGCTGACAACTGGAGCCTGGAACCTGCTTCGGATTCTGTGTCTCCCTCTCTCTCTGCCCCTCCCCTGATCACACTCTCTCCTTCTCTCTCAAAATAAATAAGCATTTTAAAAATTAAAAAAAAAAAAGAAAAAGAACACTCTCAGTGGTCAGCAGTTAAAAGAGGAGAGGCTGTAGAAAGATGTTTCATTACTCACTTTGAAGTACAGAAAGAAAGAAGGAAAAAAAGCAGAGACTGCACCGATCCCCGCCTACCCAGGGAGTCAGAAAAGCAAAAGGGGGTTAGAAAAGGGGTGGCTTTCAAGGAAAGTGGCATCTTCAGAGAGGTTACAAGCAGGAAGAATTGCCTGTGTGCAGCTGAGTCCCAGATTTGCTACTTCCTTTAAAGGACAGCAGTTTGCAAAAATGAAGAAAGGTACAATCTCCAAGGAAAAAGACTCTTGTGAAAGATCGTTCTGTGGTATTTTACGTAGGCTCTGCTTAAACAACACTGGCAGGCAGCGGAGGACTAGAAAACACCTATTAATACATTGAATATAATGAACACTCTGTCAGGGGGGTAGCTGAGCTCACAAAAATAGTAAAGAAAATATACAGGAGCCAGAAATGAGGCACAGTGAGAAAAATGAGTGTTGAAGCTACAAGTTGGGTATACAAGGTGGGGAGCTGATACTGAGAAGCTCATGTAAAGCTAGGATGTTGAGATGGGAGCCTGGAAAATGGACTCAGCTTCAGTAACAATAAACCAAAAAGCTGACTTGTCCAGACAGCAGAAAAAGAAGAGTCTCTGCTGAGAATGTTTAACACCAGGCTTGAGGACAACGCGGGATTTGGATTCATATTGCCAGAATGGTCCAGAAAGCTCCAAGCCTAGAGAATAACATGAAGTACTGGTGGCACCTGAAGAAGGAAATATAAATCTCCACCCCACCCCACCCTTGAGGGTCACGCCTCCATACAGGCTGCCGAGAAACCTGAACAAAGGTACGCTCAGAATCCAGAATGAGCACGTGAAAAATAAGCCCATCAGAAGAAAGGTGTCTGGGGCACCTGGGTGGCTCAGTTGGTTAAGTGTCTGACTCTTGATTTTGGCTCTGGTCATGACCTTATGGTTTGTGAGATCGAGCCCCGTGTGGGGCTCTGTGTTGATAGAACAGAGAATAACAGCAGACTTCTCAACAAAAATAAACAGAAGTCAGAAGATAATGGAAAAAGAGCCAAGAGAAGCCAGCAGGCCATGTAAATTGTATACCTGGTGAAGCCATCTTGAAGAATAAGACGCACAATAGAGACATACACAGATAGAAAGAATTTACCATCAGTGAAGCCTTCCTAACAGAATTTCTGAAAGATATATTACAGGAAAAAGAATGTTAGAACTAGAAGAAAGTACTGAGATGAAGTATGGATAGCAAAACAATGAGGCTGATAAACTCATAGGTAAATCAAAACAAATACTGACTAAAGCAACAATAACAAATACTGTATAAAACTATAAAAATAAAAATGACAGATTTGGAGATTAAAAACTAGATGTTTATCCCCATGTTCACTGCAGCGGTTCCATTCAGCAGCCAAGATAAGGAAACAACCGACTTGTCCAATAGTAGATGCATGCATAAAGAAAAGGGGATATATAAACATACAATGGAATATTATTCAGCCATAATAATGAATGAAATCTTGCCACTTGTGACACCACGCATGGACCTCGAAGGCATCATGCTAAATAAGTCAGACAGAGAAGGACAAATACTAGGTGATCGCTCTTATTTGCAGAATCTAAAAACAAAAACAAGGGGCACCTGGGTAACTTAGGCCGTTAAGCATCTGACTCTTGATTTCAGCTCAGGTCATAATCTCACAATTCCTGAGTTCAAGCACCGTGTTGGGCTCTGTGCTGATAGCGCGGAGCCTGCTTGGGATTCTCTCTCTCTGCCCCTCCCTTGCTCATGCTCGCGCGCGCTCTCTCTCTCAAAATAATAAACATTAAAAAAAAAAAAAATTAAAGTAGAAGTTCTATTTTGACAGGTCTTTGCCTAAACTGGGATTGTCATGAGTCTTCAAAGCATAGTTTCTGGAGGAAGAAGGAACAAACCAGCCAACTAGGTATTAATTAAGATACTAGTCAACAATGTCACAGGAGATGAAAATAAAGGAATAAGAGTTAAATGTAAAAGGGCATTTCCATGCTCAGGAGAAGGGTAAATAAAAGTATGAATGTTAGGGTGCCTGGCTGGCTCAGCTGGTTAAGCATCTGACTCTTGATTTTTGGCTCAGGTTATGATCTCACAGTTCACGAGTTCTAGCCCGGCTTGAGATTCTCTCTCTCTCTCCCTCTCTCCCCCTGCCCCTCCCCTGTGTGTGTGCACTCTCTCTAAAATAAATAAACTTTTAAGATAAATAAATAATGAAAGTATGAATGTGAATGAGTTGAGTATCTGGCAAAGTACTCACTTGGAGAATATATAAAGAACCCCTACACATTTGGAACCTGACAAGTTTGTTTGTTTATACTGTTTATTTTTGAGAGAGAGAGAGAAAGAGAGCGAGCGAGTGAGAGCGAGCAGGGAAGGGGCAGAGAGAGAAGGAGCCAGAGGATCTGAAGGAGGCTCTGCACCGTCAGCACAGAGCCTGACACAGGGCACAAATCCACAAACCAGGAGATCATGACCTGAGCTGAAGTCAGACACTCAACTGATGGAGCCCCCCAGGCGCCCCACAAATATCTTTTTTAAATAAATGCGCGAATAAATGACTGAAATAAAGCGAAAAGGAGGCACCAGAAAACATACTCTCTTCTCTGTCTCTGGAAGTGCTTGGTGAGGAGGTGATGTGTGGAGGTTCTGAAGTCATATTGAGACCGTGAGGAAAGAGGCCCGAAGGGGAAAAGTCAGTGCGGCAGGATAGCAGAGTGGGCAGACAAACAACCTGGCTCTGAGCACATGCGGGTGACTGAGGTAAGGCCAGCTGGCCTTCTGGAACAGGAGAGACATGAATGCTGAGGAAGAAAGGGTACCTATCCTTCAAACACCCCGTAGGTGTCTGCTACAAGGAGCAGGGCGTTTGGAGCTGTGCGGAAGCCATCTTGCCACCACCTAAATGGACCATGTGTGACAATGAGGCTACACAGAGGAAACGCGAGCGAGCACGAGAGCTGATGGCATCACTGACCTCCTGGCTAGAGTCATGCCTGAAACATCTGCCCTTCCCCTTCCCAGTTAATTCAGGAAACCCACTACCTTTTGTTTAAATGTGAGCTATGTTTACCATTTTTAGTTATTTGTAAACAAGAGTCTTAAGTAAGAGAATAACTTAGGAATTCTCATAGATACGAAAAACCTTTCCCCCTGCAATTGCCAGGGACAGAGCGTTTTCCCAAAGACTCTCAGAAATCCAATCACTTTGGTGCCCAAACCTGGGCCTGCGTCTCGGGCTTGTGGGGAAGACAGCTTGAGCTCAGAAAACACGTGGTGGATGTCGTTCACCTATCACGTGCACTGTCTTGCCCTTCCCTGAGACACAGAGGCTTGCTGCAGGCAGCTATTCTGGGAAGCAAGCTTAAGGGAATGGCGAAATCGGAATGAGTCCAGGAGAAAAGAGAAAGCCCAGGGTGTGTTCTGGAACAAGCTCCGGGGGGGGGGCTCACTCCCAGCAGGACTCTTGAAGGAGCCACACAGAATGTCAGAATTGTCAACTGCACAGAGGGACATTTACCCACTGGTTCCTGCCCTCCAGTGCTCAAGGATGAGCTCCCTCAGACCTCCCGGTGTGGACGTGCCCCAAGAGGCTGTGCAAGAAGCCCTGGACAGAAAGTGACATTTGGAGCAGCTCAGGTGCCCTTGGGCTATGCGCACAGCTGGCTGGCTGCAGTGACAAGCAAAGCAGAAAGGTAAGCAAGGAGGACATGAGACGGGTATAGACTATGCCAGACCCGTACTCCACAGAGATACGTGTGGGGCACAGCCCGTCAGCACAGCCCAGGCCAGCTGGGATTGTAGGCCTCCCTTCTGCCTGATGGAGCCTTCAGGCCAATACCCGGTTCAGTCCGCCTCCGCTGGGAAGCCAGCTTGGATTCCCTCTAAAGAACTAGGAGCCTTTCTTCTGAGAATTCTAAATTGGAATGTATCACCTGGGTCCTTCCCTGGGGGACCCTGAGCGACAGCAGCATCACAACAGAGGCTTTTGAAGGGGGTGCAAAGGGCTCTCGATGTGGCCATTCTTAGTCTGATCCTCTGTAAACCTGAAGGCTTTCCAGTGAATCAGCAAATCCTAGTACCAGTGTTTCCTGGACGTGGGAAGAGACAGGAGCAATACTTAGCCAAAGACAGTGAGGAAGAATTAAAGGAGACGACGATGACAACACGAAGCCTGATTCTCGGGGCTGGAGAGAGTCAGCGCACGCTGCCGGCACCTGGTTTGGCAGAGCAAAAACAGCACAGGATTTTCAACCAAACCAACCTCATTTTTTTAGTCCTGGCTCTGATACTTTTTAGTTACGTGATGTTGGGAACATCATTCCATCTCTTGGAGACTCCATTTCCTCATCTCTAAAGCAGGGGATAATAATGTCAGCTTCCCAGGGTTGTTACAGTGAGAAGCAGCGCATGGAAACTGCCAGCACGGTGTCTGGCACATGGAAGGTATTCAAGAAAAGACAGGGAGGAGGGATGAAAAAAACAAAAGGCAGAAAGAAAAAAGCAAATCCTAAACAAAATATCACAGTTTATAGAAATGAAACCCTGATTGCACTGACATTCTCTTCAAACAGAAACCTGAAAAGAGATAGCTTTTCTTATCAGGAGTGTAGACACGAGAGAAGGGTCCTCAGCACAAAGCTCTAAGATCAGTTCAGAAAGCTCATCTGGGCCCTAGACTAAAGCACCCCTGGAGAAGGGGTGAGCGGCCCTCAGCATAGGGTAGAAAGGCCAGCCTTGGTTCAAGGTCCAGCCCGTACCCCGTATCCTCCCCCCACCTCCAGTCATGACTAGATCACTCAGGTGAGAGCATCAGTGCAGGCAGCTCCTTGCCAGGAAGGAGCAATGAGCACCCCGAGACCAAGAAGCGCTTCCTGGCCGCTGGCACGGGGTCTGGATCACCGCGGCCAAGCAGAGGCTTGTCCCAGGGCCCAAGTACACTGGGGACCCACCGATCCTAATGTGGGGAGAACAGGCTGAACACACAAGATTAATTCCCTTCTCCTGACAGTTTGGGACCATCACTCTTGTTTATTTTGGCGGCATATTCTCTCTCATGCGTGTTGTCCCTCTAACTGGTTTCCCTAGCAACAAAGGAGGAAGAAAGGAGGTACACATTGTTTTCTTTTCACGTCCTGGGGGGGGTGGCGGCTAAAGGTTGTGCTTAGGAGCAGTCACGACTCCTCCATTCTGTAAATTACTCACAACAGAGGTTTCTAGCTTCTCCCAGTCTGTTTAATAGAGGGGGTGGGGCTGCGTCAAAAACACCAGGGAGGGGTCTCTCCTGCCGATGAGAGGCAAGGGATGGTTCTTCTTCAAGGGCAAGGCCCTGCCCTCTGCGGAGTCGCCCACCATCAGTCTTCACAGCCCCAAATGCTCAGGCCCGTCACTAGGCAACGACAGGCTCACCTGCGCTGGCCCCCTGCGTCCTGGCTCCCACAGGGAGCGGGGTCTTCTCGCACCTTGGGTTTGTCCTCCAGCACCCGCCGGACCCTCTGCATTCCTGGGAAGAAGGGACAGCAGCACTGGCACTGACTGCTGGGCGGGCGGGCTGCTGGAGCCACAGGCAGGAAGGGGGTGGAAGGGTGTGGTGCGGGGGTGACAGCGCTTACCCAGGCGGAGCCGGTGGGCCTTGTCTGAGAAGACCAAGCGGAACCAGCCAGGCTCTTTACACTCGAAGGTCTTGCCACAGGACAGCAACACCTTGTGGTCCAAAAAGCGGCGCCAAAGCAGCATTTCCTCCTTAAAGGTGGCCTCTGGCAGGTACTGGGAGGGTGGGAGGGGCTCAGGATGCAAATGAGACAGCACTGTCCCGCCCCTGCCAGACCGGGCCTTAACCACCCCCCCAACCACCACCCCCTGCATTACCTTCCTCAGGTCAACCCAGATGAAGAAGCCTGCCCCGCGGCTCAGGAAGGGGATCCCCAGGGCCCGGAGCTCTCCTGCCACATAGGCGTGGGCGGCCTTGAGCCGGGCACGGTTCTCAGGTAAGTACACCTGGTTGATCCAGTCTGTTTGGGTACAAAGAGAAGCCAAAAAATAAAGCTCTTGTCAATCCTCCACTCTGTCCCTTGAGTCTAAACGCTGATGAGAAAACTGCCATGAGCTGCCAGGACGCTTCTTCCACCTGGACGATGGGGATGATGGGAAGACTCAATATCCCGCACAAAGCACCTGAAATCCAGATACCTGGCCTGACAGCTCCGAGTCCTGCAGACACAAAGTCCTTCGGGAGGCGGACCCTACCCGACGGCTGGCGGTTCGGGCCAGCCCGGCCGCTGCCAACACGTGGGGCAGCTTCACCTCCCCATCCTCACCTCTTATTAGCTTTCTGTGGTGTCCTGTCCGATGGGTTTTAACACATGTGCAGATCTGTGTAAACCGCCCCCCCACCACCACCACAAGCAGGACACCCAACAGTTCCCTTGCCCCACGGGACACCTTCATGCTGTTTGTAGTCAGGTCTCCCCCACAACCACTGGTCTGTTCTTCGTCACCCTACTTTTGCCTTTCCCAGAATGACACATAAGTAGAATCATACATCGTGTCATCTTTTGAGACTGGCTCCTTTCCCTCAGCACAGCGCCTTTGAGCTCAGCCTGTGTTGCCTGGGATTTTATCCCAGAGCCGTATTCCATCGAGCGGATGGGCCACAGTCTGTCCCCCCATTCATGCCCGGAAGGATATCTGGAGGGTTTCCAGTTTGGGGTGATTGTGAATAAAGCAGCTATAGATATTCACGTGGCAGGTTTTGTGTGACCGTAAGGGTGAGGCGCTGGGAGAAGGACTGCTGGGCCCCTTGGTAAGCGTGTGCTTAGCTTTGTAAGCAACTGCCAATGGCTTCTAAAGCTGCTGCGCAGGGGCAGGGCGAGGGTTCCAGCCGCTGTGACCCTCGCCAACACTTGATGGTGTCGCTATTTTTTAAAACTTTTAGCTATTTTTTTAAATTTTTTTAATGTTTTTTTATTTATTTCTAGGAGAGAGAGAGAGCGTGAGCAGGGGAGGGTCAGAGAGAGAGGGAGTCACAGACTGAAACAGGCTCCAGGCTCAGAGCTGGCAGTCAGCACAGAGCCCGACGCGGGGCTCGAACCCACGAACCGCGAGATCATGACCTAAGCGAAAGTTGGACGCTTAACCGACTAAGCCACCCAGGTGCCCCTAAAACTTTTAGCTATTTACTGCAGGTGTATGAGATCTGGTCCTCATGTCCTCATCTATAAAATATCAGGGAAAAGACAGGAATATCTGCCTCCTAGGATTCAGGGGAGGGACAAATGAAATGGTGCATTGAGAACATCTAGCAGGGCTCAATAAACGGTGGCAATTACTGCCCACGTTTGCTATCTAGACTATCTGAGATCCTCACAGAGAGAGAGACTTCCCTTTAACCATTTTCCTTCTATGGCTTCCTTTTTTTTTAAGTGCTCACATATAATAATGAGTTCACACTGACCAAGTGCCTCTGTATGCCAGGTCCTATCGTTAGTTGACAAATCACACTGAGGCTTGGGGAGGTGAAGGAATGTGCCACACAGCCAGGGAGTGTCCGAGCCGAGTCCGAACCCAGCCGCGGCCCTGGGACTCCCAAACACCACTCTAAATTCCTTTCATGCGAGAAGCCCTCGTGATCTCTGGCCAGTCCCCGACTGGCTACAACCTTCCCCCCGATACTCAAGTGACCAGGCCCAGGCAGTCACCACGGTCCCGGAGCAGCTGTGCCATCTGGTGCTGGACCAGGCCACTGAGGCCGTGATAGCGGCAGAGGGAGGCCACCGCAGTAGCCACGTCCCGGTTCTCTGTGTACAGCGTGCCGAAGCGGAGCCCTGACATCCCAAAGTCCTGCAGGAGAAAGGCAGCCGGTGGCCCACCCGCCACACAGAAGGCTGGTTCCACCCACCTCTCCACCCTCTCAGCTCCCCGACACCCCGGACACCAGCCAGGAACCTACCTTGCTGGTCGCCCACATCACGTGCGTCCTCTGGGGGTCAGGCAACCTGCAGAGAGCACAGTGTGGGAACAGAGGCAACACAGAGCCACAAAAGCTCATACGTGTTCGGCGGAACAAATGAGGGGATGGATGGATGGATGGATGTGGGAAGCTCTGGTTCTGTGGGAAGCTCTGGTTTCTTCTCTTGAATCAGCAATTCCAACACATCCTTTAGAGGAAGAGTCAGCAGACTACAGCCTGCAGGCTACACCCAGCCCACGGCCTGTTTCTGTAAATAAAGCTTTATTGGAACACAGCCATGCTTTTGCATGTACATACCATCTATGATTGCATTCTTGCAGAGCTGAGAGAGGGAGCGTATGGCCTATAAAGCCTTAAATATTTGCCATCTGATCCAAAAAATATTTGTCCATCCCTCATCTAGAGCATAGCTCAGGTTCTGCTTCCCCAAATCCACTTGTCTGACCATCTCCCAGTAGACTGGGGCAATGGGGGCCCCTAAGCAGATCCCTTCACAGCTCGCCACACTTCTCCTTTTTAGCACTTATCACGGCCACGATCAACGGACTTTGTATTTCGCTGCTAATTTTTTTTTTCCTGGCTAGAAATAGAAGCCCCACCTAGGAGGGGCCGATGCCTTTCCTGCCCACTGCTGTGTCCCAGCACCTAGCAAGGCATCCGGCACAGAGGAGACGGCAAGTCACTATTTTTCTGTGTCTCACTTTCCTGATCCATAAACAAAAGGGAGTGACAGCCTTTTACCTGGCCTCCTGAGGACTGGCAGAGAGAACCAACGGAAAGGGCTTCCGGGGTCAAAAGGTCTGAACAAATATCAGGATCGGTTAGAATTTCCGAATGTTGATTTACAGACTTTACAGATGATCTGGTCTGAGTCTCCAAAGCTATTTTAGCCACAAATGCTGGGCTTAAACCAAATCCAATGAAAAAGCCCAAACAGCTGGAAGTGCTTGGCACAGGCTGCAGGAGGATTTTCTGAGTGAGTGAGTGAGTGAGTGAGTGAGTGTAGGAGTGAGAGAGTGAAGAAGTGAGTGAGGGAGAGAGTTAATGAGGGAGTGAGGGAGGGAGGGAGTGAGGGAGAGAGTTAATGAGTGAGCGTGGGAGGACGTGAGGGAGTGAGGAAGAGAGTTAATGAGTGAGTGAATGAGGGAGGGAGAGAGTGAGGGAGTAAATGGATAATGCTAGAGCTACTCTGGAAAACAGCAAAGGAGGCCAGTTCGCACCCTCACAGCACCACCAGCTTCCCCCCCAGGAATCTTACTGCCCACCCCCTCTCCCCACTGAGGCTCTCAGAAACCCCACAGAACAACGTAAAAGCACCTGATGCAGCCCGGCCCTCCCATCTTCTCTCCCTGGGACAGGCCATGTCCTGTGGGCCAGCCACAAGGGGCCAGGGCACCGTGGGAGGCGAGGGGCTGGGGGATGGGGGAGTGGGGTGGCAGAGTCAGCTTTGGTGGAGCAGCCTCACCCTTGCAGGCTTAGAACACTGTGGTACGCCGCTGACTCCTCAAACACGGACAGCATGTAGACCTCATCCACCATCACGTGAAGCTTGTGCCTGGAGGAGCAGGTGGTGGGAGGGGGAGACGGCTTGCTTTGCAGGCCAGCTCGGTCCCCCGCGGTGGGGAAGCAGTGAGTCAGAAATCCAAAGGGACCACGGTCTAGCCCAGGGACACCAAACTGTTTTCCAGGGACACCCTTCTTGTGCCTGTTTTTTCAAACAGGAAGCTGCACACACAAAGCAGATGACAGTGGGGCTTTTGAAGAACTGCCTGGGAGAGCAGAGCAACCGTGGGCACCTCCACAATGAAGGACACAAAGAAGTGCAAAAGAGTTATGTACAGACGGACCCAGGTTCAAGTCTTCTCCACTCCTCGCTCTAAGGCTCAGCAAACTGGGGATAATGACAGTGTGATAACTAATAGGGTGGCTGGGAGCATTACGTGAAGTGCTCAGCAGGGTGCCTGGCCCCTAGAGTGTGTATACTAATGACAGCTGTTATTATAACAAGAAAGAGAGAGAGAGAGAAAGAGAAGGGGCATCCCACAAATCCCTGCTCTCTCACTCCACTGCTGGGGAAGGACCAAAGTGGGTGGGAGCCCACAGTGGAGGGAACAGCATAGAAGGGTCTGTGCCAAAGCCTGCATCAGTTTCCTGATCTGCCAGGACGTTTCGTGGGGGGACTGCGGGGTACCTCACCTCTTGGCAAATTCCAAGTAGTCCCGCAGCTCTCCTGGGGAGTAGACGTCACCCAGAGGGTTCTGGGGGTTGATAAGGATGAGGCCTTTGACCTTCACACCCTGAAACCATCAGTGGGGCAGGAAGCCCTCAGCTCCTCCTGAAGGCCAGAGCCACACAGTCCCACTGGATGGGGCTGGTTGCTGGGTGGGCTCCCGGGCAAATGTGAGGGGAACATGTTCACGACCCAATGTGGGGCAAACAAGGGCAGAGAATCACGTATCTGTAGCATGGTGTCAACCAGGAAAGGAAACAAAAGGCAGAGCACAAAGCCCAGAGGCAAATACGCCCAAATGGTAAAGGTTGCCTTTGTTGGTAGAATAATGTGTAGAATAATTGGTTGGTAGAATAATTCACTTTTAGAATTCCTTCAGTGGGCCTGTACGGCGTTAATGACCGTGGACTAGAACGAACCACAGTAGTAGCTCTTGTCTCTGCCTTTCTTCAGAGGTCCCCTCAAGGTGAAAGGAGAATCACGTCCTCAAATCATCAGGGAGACTGCTGAACTACAGAGCGCTAGGTTCCACACTTGACCCACTGAATCAAAACAGGGTGGTGGGGGTGGGGGTGTTAAGTTCCCTGGTTGACTCTTCGTACACGGAGGTCTCCAAGTCTTTCTCTAGTGAGAAGAGCCTTTTTGGGCAGGCTCCTACTTGACTCCCATCCCCATCAGGGAGTCTCAACCCACACCCAGCCACAGGAAGCCCGTGCCCTGCTCAGACCCACCCACTCCCAGCCTTGAGTCTGATTTGACCCCCAGACCTCAGAATTAGCTCTCTGCAGGGCCATCTCCAGTTTCTCCACTGTGAGCTGGAAGGGGCGTGTGTCCAGCCCAGTGGCCTAGAAAAAGACGTAGAAAAGCCACCAGCCAAATTCAGTGATCCCCTAAACCTGAACTTCTGGGGTCTCTCCCAGCCCTGTCATCTCTGGCCTCCTCAAAGCAGTCTCTGAAAAAAAACACAGGTGGGCTCCCTCTCCCCATTGCCACCCCCCCCCCCGCCCCATCACATAGGGACACCTCATCACTCTTTGTCGGGAAGAGGCCCCAGAGGTGCTCTGGTCCAAGAACTTGCATGTTGAGGGCTGCTCTGCCCCATCCTCACCCCACCATTTTGATGCAGTCTCCTTGGGGCTGCCCTTGGCTTCTACACCGACCCCAGAGATCTCAAAGCCAGGACATGGAGAAGCCCTGGGGAACCCAGGTATGGACAGGCATGGGCTCTACTCCCCTTGCAGCCATAACCCCCGAGCCCTCAGCATGGACTTCCTCCCATGTCCACCCTCAAATTCATCGAGAGAAAAGTCTTCATCTGTAGGAAGGCACGGGTCCTACCTGCGGTTGCAGGGACTCTTACCTCACTGTCCAGATAGACACAGACCAGTCGGACGCTGCCATAGAGATAGACGTGCTGTGTGATGGCTCCGTAGTAAGGGGCAGGGATCAGGAAGGCCTCTGAGGGCAGGCGTGGGCCAGGGCCTGTCACTCTCTGGCCAGGATGCCCAACCCTCCCCCGTCCACGGGCTTCCATGTCGCTGGGGGGGCCCTGCAGGAACACTCTGTCTCTCAACTCGCAAGCTCTAATACTTGGATCCACTGAGATCAGTCCCTTTGCCGATAATCAATAGCTAACATGTACTGAACACTTACTAAGTGCTGGGAACTGTGTTCAACGTGCATTTGCACCTTAGCTCATCTGGCCCTCACTATCACTCTGTGAGATCAGTAACTTCACCGATGAGCAGACCGACCCTCAGAGGATCCCTCTAAAGCACGCAACGTGCTGGGTCACTCCAAGGAAGACAGGGATCCACTGAGTTAAAGCTGCAGGGTGCTCTGGGCTGGACAAACGGATACACCTGACAGCATATAGAATTGCCCAGAGAGAGTGTTCGCGAGGAATGGCTTTTCCCCCTCTGGGTACATTCGAACGGAAGGCTGGGACCGCATGCTGGGGAGGGGATGTCATCGAGAAGACCCCAGCTGTGGATTGCAGGGAGGGGGTTGGTGATGACCGCCAAGGTCTATCCTCACACAGAGGCAAAGGCATTTTTCCATGACACATGGTCAGGCGCCTTCCCTCCCTGTGTCTGCCCCACCCACTTGTCTGGGAGGGACAGCCTTCGTACTACATGTTCCCTGCCCCAGCCACGGCGAGTGAACCAGAAGGAAACAAGGGACTCAAGGAGCCCACTCACTGGCTGGCCAGAAGCCCATCATGTGCTCTCTCTCATGACTTTGCTCTAGAAGCACAGATGCTTATCGCATGAGAACGTGCCCCTGGACAGAAAGGTCACATGCAGTTGGGGCTGGGGCAGCTACACCGGGCCATACGGGGCCATACGGGAGCTGAGGAAGGGCCAGAGAGAGGCTTGCATGTGAAAAGGGGGAGGAATGGGGAGAGGGAGGGAGTCAAACCATCAGAGACTCTTGAATGCTGAGAACAAACTGAGGGCTGATGGGGGTGGGGGGAGGGGAAGGGGGGTGATGGGCATGGAGGAGGGCACTTGTGGGGATGAGCACTGGGTGTTATATGGAAACCAACTTGACAATAAACTTTAAGGAAGAAAAAAAAGGAGGAGGAAGAAGAACTATACACCCCAATGAGAGATGGAGAATGCAATTCCGATCCTGTTCTTGACTGTTCTAGAATGGGTAGGAAATTGCCTACTATATCCTTGCAATGAATCTTCTTTCTCTGGTTGAAATCCTGGTTACTAGCTCTGTGTGTGTGTATGAATCTGACAGGTAACTTAAATCCCTGTGCCTTCATGTCCTCATCTGTGAAGTGGGGCTGACACAGAACCTGCCTCAGAGGGATGGACTGAGGATTAAATGACACACTATGTGTAAAGCCTCAGGCCAGGGCTGCAATATAGTGTGTGCTCAGTTAGCGTTACCAGTATAATCACGACTAGTTATTAGGCTACTGCGAGTGGGTCTGGTCTCTCTGTCCTGGCAACAATAACCCCTGACCGTGACCCATTCTCCATCAGGCCATGGCTCCTGTAGCAGACACTGCTGGCTGCCTACTCGACAGCCACTCCAGGTGTCTTGGGAAGAGAGCATCGAATTTCCCAGATATGACCAGTCCGAGGGCGATGGCAAGGAAGGAAGGATGGCCTTCCCCCAGCCCCTGCAGATACACCACGTTTGGTTTAAGCCAACTGGGGGTTCTTATCCCATTTTCCAGGGACTGCTTTGGGAGTGGGCTTGAGAGACAGTTCTGGCCAGGAAGACAGAAGGGGAGTCCTGCTGGGCCTTTTTAGAGAAAGCCCTGCACCCCTCCCCCCCAATAAAAAAGACGCAGGCAAGGCACCACCTTATCCCTTCCTCCCTGCTTTAGGACACACTGTCATGTAAGGATGCAACAGCATCACATGAAAGGAAAAACCAAGGTCATCACAGAGAGAAGCCCAAAACCCTGGCATATGGTGACCTCCCCTGAGACGGCCAACATCCAGGCATCTTGTCAAAGTGCTCATTAAGCTCCCTGCCATCTAGTAGTCGATTATGGCCCAAAGCCTTCGGGCACAGCCTGCAAAGACAGAGCGTGGTGGACACTGCAGGTGGAGGGCGGCCCCCGATGTTGAGCAGAAAGCAGGTTACTTACCCCCCACCTCACACAGCACTGTGGCCAGAGCAGAGAAGAGAGAGGCACAGCCGTTCAGAACCACCACCTGAGGGTGACACGCCCACACAAGAAAGATGAATAATCTGTGCAGGTGGGAGCAAGGACCTTTGGCTGTGTCCAGGCTGGCATGGAGCAAGGGCCAGGCCCCAACGTGGGGCCCTCTGAGGCTCTGTCACAGCACAGCCACCAGAGGAAGCCCAAGGCCCCTCCTGACTAACAGCCAAGTGCATTTGTGTGGCCTATTCTTTGCTTGATGGTCTAAATCAACAGAGCAAGGAAGAGGTGACTGGTCGCTTAGAGGGTCTTGTCCAAAAGTGTCGAGGCAACGAGGGACCATAGAACAAGGTGGAACAGAAATTATATCCCAATTATCACCTAAATATCTAGGATGAGGAGGAAAAGAGGGAGGGGGTATTCCTCATTCCACCTGGAAACAAGTCAAAAACAGTAAAAGGCAGATCCCAGCCCTACCTTATCCCTGGCCAGTCGACAATTGGGGGAAGTGGGCAGAAGATCAGGAGAAGGCAGAGGAGGGGGCTACTCACATTCTCTGGTTTCAGGGGTGCAGGGCTCTTGCAGTAGAAAGACAGGAATCTGGCCACTTCCTCCCGGAGGCTAAAATTCGGACAGAGATGGACACTTGTCAGAGGGTCCCCAACCCATAGCCCATCCCAAAGGTCCCCTGGTGAATCTTCAGATAGCTGCCATTATCCTTCTCTGCTTTCTGCTAAGGGCAGTGAGGTTGGTGCCATCTCAACATCTCGGGGCCCACCAGCCCCTCACCCCACCACCACCCACACACATAAAAACCTGCCTTCTCTGTAGTTCTAGGATACCCGACCCCCCTGATCAGCAAGCCTGGGCAGGGGCGGGGGGAGAATATCAGAAGTACCAGCCTATCTACATGTAGATCTAGCTAATAATAATACTGTGACAATAACTATCATCACAGTTATTGTTGCTAACAGTTATTGAGCACTTACACAACATAGGAGTTACTTGGGGGAATTTTACTCAATCTTCATGACAACTCTATGATGCTATTATTATTATTATTCCCATTTTACAAAGAAACTGAGGCTTGAAGGAAATCAGTCACTTGCTGGTAAGTGGCAGAGTCCACACTCACGCCAGTGGTCTGTCTCCAGGGCCCACCATCCTATTGCTAGAACATGCACTTTGGGATGTCCTGCTTGACCGCTAAGGTCTTAGAACAGCAGGGGGCCCCAGCAAGTGCTCAATGAGTACAAACTCGAATCAGTATTATGTACCACTCCCCATCTTACCAGGAGGAAAATGCCGCAGCCAGCGCACTCCCCCCTCCCCCGACCCCCATCCCCAGCACCGGTTCTGGTCCCTCTAAGGCTCCTGAGAAAGCAGGGACAGAGACTCCATGCCTGAAGGCCTCCCCATGCCTCCGACCCAGGGAGGCCAAGCTGGGGAGCTCCAGAGCTGGCCTGGGACGGGCAAAGGTACGAGTTCCCTGCAGACGCTCCCGGAGACCCTGTGGCTGCCCCGTGACCAGGACTGGCCCTCGGCCTAAGGCAGGCTTTCTCCACTTGCCATATTCACCTTTTGGGCGGGGTAATTATTTATGGTGGGGGCCATCCTGGGCATTGTAGGAGGCCTGGTAGCACCCCTTACTTCTACCCGATAAATGCCAGTAACAGCCCCCTCCCAGTTATGACCACCAAAAATGTCTCCAGATGTCCTTTGTCCCCTGGGGAGCAAAACCAGCCCGGGGTTGAGAACCATGCTCAGGGCAACTACTTACAACAGATGTCCCCTCCAGTCAGGGTACTGCAGCAGAGACGGCTCCACCCGCAGCATGTCGCTCTGACTCAGCTGGGGACAGAGGAAAGAGAGGGACTGAGGGCCACACATCCTCATGGGGACCGCCAGCACGTCCGCCTGAATCCACACGGCACCAGGGCCACTAAAGCCTGGGCTCCGTCTGCTCGGCAGAGAAACCATAGCACTGGCAACACAGGTGCAGCATTCTTCTGCCCAAGGTGCAGAGGAGGAAACTGAGGCTCAAAGCAGTGAGATGACTCAGCCAAGGTCACAAAGCTAGCAAGTGGCAGAGCTGAGGCAAAACCCAGAATGTCTGACTCCTAATCCAGCGCTCTTTATACAGCACTGCCATCTAAAAACCCCAGATGAGTGGGTTTGCGGAGGCCGTGATAGGAAACCGTGCTACTCTGCCTCTCCTCAGGGTGACAGAAGGGGGTCCCAGAATCAGGTGCCATCATCTCGGTGTCGGCTCCAACTTCTGGAGACTCGGGTCACTGTGTTCCTTCAGGCTCAGCTCGACATTACACTCTGGAAAAGTATGGCTGTTTCTAGAACGTCCCCAGCATGACCCGGTGCTGGGTTAGGAACGCCCAGGGCATCACATACACAATGTCAAGGAAAGGTAGGGGTCCTGGGGAGAGGACCCGAGGAAAAGGGTAATCAGGCACTTGTATACAAGTCCAGCCTTTCCCCTCTCCTTCTTCCCAGAGAGCGGTGCCGGCCAGGACGGAGCCCACTAGCCACAGGTGCCTCCGAGCACGCGGAATGTGGCCAGCCTCGACGGAGACACGCTGGATTTCGAAGGGTGAAAATCCATTATGAATATTGAATATATGTATGAAAATACCATTATGAAAATGGTATGCAAAATAGCTTCGTTTTTGTACATTGATTATATGTTGAAATGATCCTATTTTTTGGATATAATGGGCTAAATAAAATACATTATTAAGATGAACTTAACAGTTTCTTTTTACTTATAGAAATCTTTTAATTATATACGTAGCTCACATTTTATTTCTAGTGGACAATACAGCGGGGTCCTGGCTTCAGGTAGAACGCGTCTTTTGAACCCACTCCCTACACTCCTCTTCCCTCAGGCATTGGATTAGTCATGTCTGGAAAGAAGTACTTTTGGGTTAGGTGTCACCCGCTCTGCAATCCCCAACTCTGATTCCGTGGCCTTGGGAGACACATTTCCCAGGTATTTCCAGTGGTTTACAGAGAGGGCTCACATCAGCTCAAGAAATCTGCTTAATTAAGTTTCCAGGAATTTTACAAGCTGTGTTTAAAAGAGTCGTTTAAAAAAATTAAATTGCATAAATGTGTAAGTAAGTAAAGTGCATTAAAAACAAAGGTAATAACTCGAACATCCCTGCTTCTGGTTATCTTACTACATTTTTACATGTGCTCCTGACATTATTTCCGTCTGTGTCTAGATGGTGGGAACACTACATGATGCGTGCCTCTAACACCTCCTTTCCCACTTTGTGTGAGGGGTGTCACACCCTTAGCTTGGAATCAGCCACAAAGTGAGTATTTACACTATGGGAACTGGCAAAGGCCACAAATCAGAGTCTTCCTTACCCAGAGCCGGGTGTTAAATACGGATCACACCCTGCTGAGTGCTCCCCACTGCGAGCAGAGGCCCCGCCAGCAGGATGCACTGAGTATGGGAAGAGGTCTTCATGAAGCAGGGTGGGAACAGGGAAGGGACTTGCCCAAGATGGCAGAGAAAGTCGCCCCCGAGGCAGATCTGGAAACCGGGTCTCCTGGCCTCAGGTGAGCACCACGCTCTTGTCAGGGAAGCATTCTGGGGAAGTCCAAGGGCACTGGGGACCGGTGATACCACCGAGAGGAGCACGGGACTTACCCGCCTGGACAGCAGGTCAAAGCAGAGTTTGTTCTCACTGGTGCCCAAGTTAATGATGCCCTGGAGACAGAGACACGGAGGCAGGGTCAACATAGCCGAGGGGACCCAAAGGAAGGCCCAAGGAGCACACAGGGGCAGCAAAGCAAAGCAGGAGTGATCCTCCCCTTCCAAACACCCTTCCTCGCCCTTGTTCGAGCCCTACCTCCACTCAGCTCCCTGGTCCCATATTCCCATTTCTAAAGCTCCAATCAAATGCCGTCTCCTCCAGGAAGCCCCCCAACCCAGAACCCCATGTAAAAAAGGATCTTTTGTTGGGGGAAGGATCCACTTCCAGACTCGGTCACATGGTTGTTGGCAGGCCCCTCGCCACATGGGATTCTCCACAGCACTGCCTCATGAAATGGCAGCTGGCTGCCCCCAGGGCCGGTGGTCCAAGAGAGGACGGGACACCATGAGTACCCAAGATGGAAGCCACAGACTTTATAACCTATTCTTGCAGGATGTCACATCTGCATATTCTGTTCATTAGAAACCTCGAGTGTGGGCTGGACCTAGTGCCCTGAACCTGATTAGATGCTTAACAAACAAAGATCATTAAGGGATTATTTGTGACAGCTAAAAACCTATAATTGGGACAGATAATAGTAATAATGGCGGCTACTGCATATTGAATGCTCTATGTGGTAGCGTGTGCTAATAACTTTACGGACCTGATCGCATTACATTGTGACTATTCTACAGAACAGGTATCATTAGCTCAATTTAGAGGTGAACTGACGTTCAAAGAAATTAAATAAATTAGTTCAAGAACACACGACCCAGCGGTGAAGTAAGTAGCTCAGGAATACACAGCCCATAAGTGAGACAGCTGCAGGCTGAACTCTAGTCGTGTCCCAGCTCTGAAGTTGCACGGGTGATGGGCTGTGGTCAGGAGACCATTCCGTAGTTCTTGAATTCCTCCCTTACCAATCAGGGTCCCCTTAATCATAAAGGGGCCATTTTCTGATCCAGGCAATGAACTGGGGACTCTCTGCGCTACATCAGAAGCCATCTTGGAGGTCAGAGGACCGCAGCTCCGATCTGAGCAGAGCAAGCTGGGCGCTTCCCTGCAGTCTTCCCTTGGGTAGACAAGGTAGGGTATCCCACCCTGCAGTCTTCCCTTGGGTTCCAGGGGGGACAGGGATTTCACTCACACTGGGGTTCTTAGCCTCATCATACTTGTCCATGTGGTAGGTGCTGTAGCCCTCCTCAGCTGAGTCCCAGAACCATTTAATGACGCTTCCTCTGGAGGACAGGTAGGGGCTGTGAGAGAACACCCTGGCGGTGGGATCACCCACTCCACCGAACTCTGGCAGCTTCCGGTCTGGTTTTCGGGAGCATTCTCTTTCCAGACCATCCCCATGGTTACTGTCCAGGTCCTGTGTGGAGGCTGGGCCCGGACAGGTGGTAGGTGCCCTGGGTTCCTTCTGAGGCAGAGTGAACATCTGCAAAAGAAAGGCGAAAGCATTCAGTGCCTGTTCTAGGCCTTTTCGTAGCAGCGAAAATGAATTGGGAGTCAGGAGGTCCTTTCCATTCTCCGTCTGCCCCTTCCTTTACATTTATATATTCTACCTGCTCCCTGTGGCCCACACCTGGTTGTAACCAGGCGTGCAAAGGCTTCAACAAGTAAATTCTGTTGAGGATCTGTTCAGTGTCAGGCGTTGTACTTGACTAATGTACAGCTCCTCTCACTTGTTTTACATTTATGGGAGTTCATTCCGCAGCCTAAGGGGTCACCAACATTCTTTTTTCATCCTTGCTGACCTCAATTTCCAAAAATCAGGTTAAAATTTTCTGATGTAAAGCAGAAGGAGCCTGGGGACATCTAGGTGGCTCCGTCAGTTAAGTGTCCGACCCTTGATTCACTCAGGTCATGATCTCAGGGTTTGCGGGTTCCGGGCTGACAGTGCAGAGCCTGCTTGGGATTCTCTGTCTCCCTCTCTTTCTGCCCCTGCCCCGCTCACTCTCTCTCTCTAACTAAATAATAAACTTAAAAAAAAAAAAAAAAAAAGGCAGAAAGAGCCAGAATCCCAGGGGTCTTGTGTGGTGGTTGATGTCAGCAGGGGTAAAGGACAGGAGATTATCTGAGGGTCCGGGGCAGATGACGGGCAGGAACTAAAGGAAGGAGGCCCGGGGTCTCCCAAGTGTAGACACGGGACACAGCTCCAGGGGCCGGTCCTCACACCGGAGGGAGGGAAGCCCAGGAGGCAGGAGAGGGCAGTCACCTCCCGGCAGCGGCTGCGAGCTCCGCTTTCTAAGGCAGGTCAGCAGCGGGGCTATCCATACACGAGCTGCTGTAGATAAAGCGCTTAGAACAAATCCTGGCTCGTGGCTCCAGTTCAGTGAAATGCCATTACGGCTCCTCGCCGAGTCTCCCAGTCCTGAAGCGAGCCCGCACACCAAGCGGCGGGTGACGGCCAGCGGCCCTGAACCCAGAGGGCTCCCGCGGTCCCCCCAGCGTGGCCGCGCGCTCACCTCGCTCCCCCCGACGGCGCAGGCCGGCGGACGCGCGGCGCGGGCGGAGGCCGAGCGGGGGCGCAGGTCCGGGCTGCCCGGGAGTGGCGGGGGGAGGGGCCGGACTCCAGCGGCGGGACGGCAGCGGCCTGGGCGGGCGGCGGAGCCTCGCGAGACGAGACGGCTGAGCTTCCGGTTCGAGGACTCGTGAGCCGGGCCGGGGATGCGAGACGGAAGCGCGGACGCCTGCGGACGATCGCCGAGCCCGCGGGGGAGGGCTGCCCTGCGAGGCGGGACCGCAGCCCCGGAGCCGCGCTGGAGAGGCGAGCGGCGGCGCAGGGTCTCTTCCTCCGCCCGGACCCGCCCCCACTGTAGCGGGCTGACTGGGAACGCCCCGCTCCCTCCCTGCCCCCTGCCCTCGCGGTGGCGACCCCCGCCCCTCGCGGTGGCGACCCCTGCCGGGGCGCGGCACAAGCCGAGACCTCCCAGGCCTCCGCGGGAAGGGCGGGCCTGCGGGCCCGGGTCGCCTTGGCTGGCCAGTGGGGGCGCCTCCCTCTGCCTCCCGGCCTCGGTTTCCCGATTTTGAAGCACTTGAGTCACGGAGGTTACTTGGCAAATGTCGGCCTGTTTGCACCCCTGGAAAAGCCCTTCCAGGTTAAGGCGAGGGCATTTAAAACAGTCTTCCCCAGTGAGAGTTTGTTTTGTTTTACTGGCGTTGCAATTCTTTCGTTCCACGGAATATTTGTGGGACTCTGCCATGGACCCTGTAGGTTCTGGTGCTTCGGCAGGGAGTGAAGCTACCCAGGCCCCAGGCTGCGCAGAGGCAGAGCCTCGAGTAGGAGAAATCTCCTTTCTCGTGAGGTCAGCAGGCTCCCTCAATACTAGTATGGCCCGGGAAGACTTAGCTGTCTTCTGAGCACTACACTTCCGGTCTTCTCTTTGGCCTTGCCACTACCATTGTGACCTTAAGCAGCTCTCATGACTTTGTTGGTCTTCTGTATTATATTCTGTAAAACAAGCCAGTTCTCTCCATTTAAGTCATATTCTACTTAATTCTGATAAGTTCTCTTATTGAATGCCTGTTTCGTGCCAGATCTCTGCAAAGTACTGGAGGTACAGTGATGAGCAAAACTGACAGTGGGCTCAAGTGGTTGACTGGGAAAGCAGACATACAAATATGATGACTTTAAAGTTTACCTGGTGGCAGGGAAACGTGCAGCAGGGACATTCACGCCAACCCCTACGCATGCACCGGCTCCACCTAGGAAGCCCTACACACAACATAAAATTGCTATAAACACTTAGGAAGGGACAGCTGAGTTCTGAAGGATAAGTCCTAGTTAGAAAGTGAGAACGTGGAGTGTTGGAAGCAAAAGGAAGTGTCTGATAGGGCCTTGAAGGTCAGGGTCAATGTGGAGCAGTAATAAACTACAAGAAATCTAACATGGCTAGAGCTTGCAGGGCTTGGGAGAAAGGTTGGAGATATAGGCAGAGCTGAGGTCATGAGTCCTTGTAAACAAACCGTGATGAGGGCTGTGAACTTCTGAGGGTGTGTGTGTGTGTGTGTGTGTGTGTATGTATACGTATATATAGTAATCTCTATAGCAAACAGCTATAACCAAGAAGCCAAAAAAAAAAAAAGGGTAATAAAATATAACCCTAAATAATGACTGATTACTCTGAAAGAAGACAGGCAGGAAGGAAAGAATGAACAAACAGCATATGGCACAACAGAAAACAGCAAGATAACTGACTGAAATCCAATCATATCAATAATCACATTAAATGTAATCACTAAGGACCAATTAAAGGATCATCAGACTGGATAAAGCAGCAGGATTCAAGTATATGGTAATTGCAAGAGAACTGTTAAAGACAAATGGTTAAAAGCAAAATTGGAAAAAAATATATATATACCATGCCAATAACCATAAGAGGATGGCAATTGTCCAAAAACCAGGAAACAAATGCTGCAGGAGAAATGAGAACCTTTGCGCACTTTGGGTGGGAATGTTAAATGCTACAGCCACTGTGGACAATACGGAGATTCCTCAAAAAATTAAAAATAGAAGTAACATTTGACCCAGCAATTCCACTTCTGGGTATATTTTCAAAAGAACTGAAAGAATCTTGAAGAGAGATTTGTACACCCGTGTTCGTAGCAGCATTCTTGACAAGAGCTAAAATGTGGAAGCCAGCCAAGTGACCATCAACAGTTGAATGGGTAGGTAAAATGTGATGTATACATACAATGAAATAAATATTCAACCTGAAGGGAAATTCTGATGTGTACGAAAATGTGGCTGAAAGTTGAGGGCAGTATGCTAAGTGAAATACCCAGTCATGGAGAGACAAATACTGTAGTAGCCCACTACTTAGAGTAGTCAAAATCAGAGACGGAAAGCAACATGGTGGTTGCCAGGGGCTGGCGGAAGGGAGTGACGGGCAGTTATTGTTTAACAGGTATAGATTTTCACTTTTACAAGATGGAAAGAGTTCCTGGGATGAATGGTGGGGATGGCCGCATAATAATGTGAATTTAATGCTGCTGAATGGTACACTGAAAAATGATTAAGATGGGAAATTTTATGTATGTGTATTTTAACACAAAGGAAAAAACAGGAAAGCAGAAGCAGACTTCAAAACAAAAAAATGAAATCGTGCTATTTGCAACAATGTGGATAGAACTAGAGTGTGTTATGCTAAATAAGTCGGAGAAAGACAAATATCATATGATATCACTCATGTGGAATTAAGAGGCACAACAGATGAACATAGGGGAAGGGAAAGAAAAATAAGATAAAAACAGAGGGAGGCAAACCATAAGAGACTCTTAAATACAGAGAACAAACTGAGTGTTGCTGGATAGGGAGGTTGGTGGGGGGATGGGCTAAATGGGTGATGGGCATTAAGGAGGGCTGAGCACTGGGTGTTGTATATAGGTGATAAATTCCTGGGTTCTGCTCCTGAAACCAATACTACACGGTATGTTAATTAACTTGAATTTAAATAAATAAATCTAAAAAGAATTACCAAAACTTAAAAGTGATACTTCAAAATGACAGGATGATCAATTCATCAGGGTGACAATTTTAAATGTTTATACCCCTAATATCAAAGCTTCAAAATACATGAAGCAGAAACCAACAGAATACAAGGGAAATACAGATAAATCAACAATTACAGTTGGGAAATCTAGCATATCCCTCTCAGTAATAGGTAAAGTGGATCAAATGACAGTAAGAATCAGAAGATTTAAACATTGTAAAATAATTTAACCTAACGGATATAGCACACCCCACCCAGTAACTGCAGAATATACTTCTTTTCAAGTGCACATGAACCACTGGCCAAGATAGACCATATTCTTGGCCATAAACCACTTTCAATAAACTTCAAAGGATTCAAATCGTATTTTATGTTCTTTCCTTACAAGGATACTAAAGTGAAAATTATTAACAAGGGTTAAGTGAACAATCCCCAAATACTTGGAAACTAACATGCTAAATAAATCAGATAAAAAAGAAATCACAAAGGATATTAGAAAACTGAACAATCACAAACACACAATCAAAAAATCAAAATTACATGTAGCTAAAGCAATACTTAAAAGTCAGTAACTTCAAATGCTTATATTTGAAAAAAAGCTTAAAACTGTTCATCTAAACTTCCACATTAAAAAGCTAAAAAAGATTTTTCCCCCAAAATCAAAGTAAAAATGAAACAAGAAATACAGAAAAATCAATGAATCCAAAAGTTGGTTCTTTGAAAAGATCCACACAATGGATAAACATTTAGATCAACTGATTTCAATAAAAGAAAAGAAAAAGAAGATAACACAATAGATCATACAGATATTAAAGGGATAGTAAGGGAATATTAAATAATTTTATCTCAATAATTGAACTTAACTGGAAATATTTTCTTAACACAAATTGCCAAACCTAACACAAGAAGTAGAAAATGTGAATAGCCCTATATCTGTTACAGAAATTAAATTCAGGAGAAGAAACCTTCCCACAAAGAAAACTCCAGTACAGATAGCTTTACAGGTGAATTTTACCAAACATTTAAAGATTTTTTTTTAATTAACTTGACGCAAACTTTCAGAAAAATAAGGAACACTTCCCAAAACATTTAAGAGGTCAGTATTACTCTGATACCAAAACCGACAATGCAGTACAATGCAAAAGAAAATGTTGGCACAATATTCCTCATGAAAATAGATGTAAAATACTTAACATCGAACCAAATCAACAATATATAAACAGAGGAAGCATCATGACTGTGCAAGCCTTATTGCAGGAATAGGACCTACACTTAATATGTTTAAAAAAATTTTAAACATAAAATTTTATGAGGCGCCTGGGTGTCTCAGTTAAGTGCCCCACTTTGGTTCAGGTCAGGATCTCACAGTTTGTGAGTTCAGGCCCCGCATCGGTCTCTGTGCTGACAGCTCAGAGCCTGGAGCCAGCTCTGGGTTCTGCGTCTCCCTCCTCTCTCTCTCTCTCTCTCTCTCTCTCTCTGACCACCCCCTGCTCATGCTCTGTCTCTCAAAAATAAATAAACATTAAAAATTTTTTAATATTTACTTTTGAGAGAGAAAACGAGACCGAGAGCAGTCAAGCATGAGTGGGGCAGGGGCAGAGAGAGAGAGGGAGACACAGAACCCAGAGCAGCCTACAGGCTCTGAGCTGTCAGCACAGAGACCGATGCGGGGCTCAAACTCACAAACTACAAGACCATGACCTAAGCCAAAGTAGGACACTTAAACCAACTGAGCCACCCAGGCACCCCATCATTTAAAAACATTAGTGTAAGTTTGCCACATTAATAATTAGAAGAATTATATCTTCTCTTGATGTATAAAAACGTATGATAAAAATTGAACCCTCATTCATGGAAAAGCTCTCAGCAAACTAGGAATCAAAGGAACTCTTATCTGTTAATAGGCAGTATGAAAAATATTTACAATAACATTGAACTTAAGAGTAAGAGTGGGGACCCTGGGTGGCTCAGTCAGTTGGGTGTTTGACTTCAGCTCGGGTCATGATCTCACGGTTCATGAACTTGAGCCCCATGATGGCTCTGTGCTGACAGCTCAGAGCCTGGAGCCAACTTCATATTCTGTGTCTCCCTTTCTCTCTGCCCTGCTTGTGTGCTTTCTGTCTGTCTCTCTCTCTGTCTCTCTCCCTCTCCCTCTTTCTCAAAAATAGATGGTTTAAAAAAAAAAAAAGTGAAAGTGACCTCAGTCCTAAGATTGAGAACAAGAATGTCCTCCTTCACTGCTTTTAGTTAACACTATACTGGAGGTTCTAGGCAATGCAATTAGAACAGAAAAATTAGAAATGCTGAAAAAGAAAGGAAAATCATCTTTATTCATGTCAACATGATTGTATACACTGAAAATTCAAAGAAATCCCTCGACACTGCTAGGGCTAATAAGTGAATTTGGCAATGTCACAAGATAGTGTCAAAAGAGGATTCTTTCTGGGTCTCTCAGGTTTCTGCCGGTCTTACAAAAAGGGGCACTGACTGTCTTTGCTCTAGGCTATCTTCAAGGAGACATACCCACACGTGTAGCGCTGGATGACAGCAATACTATCTCCATCTAGAGCAAAGGGTGTGTTTATGACTCAATATAATAAAGATAAGGTCTCCCTTGGGGCCAAAGTTCAGACAGGCTTACTGCTAACCATTAAAAGAATCACATTCCTTAAGCTTGGTTTTCCTCTTCTGCAATATACCCCACTGCACATGCAGGCATCAGTTAGGCCTCTTCAATTTGTCCTACAAGAATCAGGGCTTAGGGGACCAAAAGCAGCTACTTATTCCTGCTACTGCTTTGAGTAATAAGCTGTCCTTTATCTCTGACCCAGGGTTCTCATGCCTTCTGCCAGCATCCATAAAACCTGTTCATTTATAAGTAGGGTAAAACTTCAGAGTGTTCAAAGCTCTTGATATAAGATACAAAATTCTGTTGTTTCATACTAGCAACAATTAAAAACTGAAGTTAACAATACATTTAACAGGACATGAAAAGCATAGGATAGTGATAAACTGAAAACATGTGTAAAACAAAATGCATACACTGAAAGCCACAAAGACCTTACTGAGAGAAATTAAAGGCCTAAATAAATGAAAGGAGACTCCATTTAGGAGTCATAGATAGGGTGATATTAAATTCTCTCCCTTCAAGCATTCAAATCTTGAGTGGAAATGAAGACAGAATTAGTCTATCCCTTCCACGGAAGTCACCACCCCTTTGCTCCAGGACAGTGTGCTGATGAGACTCTCCCAAGAGCACTTGCCGTTCTGATCTTCATCTTCTCTCTGGTCCTGTGAACTCCCTCATTCATCCAGTGAACTCCCCCTTGTCTATTACCTTATTAGTCAATGTCTCTTAAAAAGGAAAAGAAAAAAAAGAGAACAGTTTCTGGTGTAAAAACACCCTGAAGAATCAGGATTTGTCAGCATGCTTTTTGATGATTAGGAAAAAAAAAAAGAAGAAAGATAGTCATTGGAGAAGAACCGCCAACTCTGGAGGATGATCACAAACCCAGGTGACTGACCAAAGCCATCAAATGGTGCTAAAAGTGCTTTTGTCTATAAAACGTGGTAGTCCCTGCTGTGCCCACTTCACAGCCTCAGTCCCCCAACTAGAGTGCAGATATGCAAGAGCTTTACAGTTGATGTGATTCCACTGGCTGAAAACAATAGAGATGAAACTGGAAGATCCCAGGCTCATCGCCAGAGATGCATTTTAAAAGCCTTTTGAATGGGGCGCAAATGGAAAGAACTCCTATTTGGAAGAAGGGACTTCTGGGATTATACGCCCACCCTGCATTTACCCACTCAGGTGTAAGGTGGGCGTGATCTTCTGGGATGCAGGATCTCAGAGGATCCTGACATCTAGAATGTGCTCAGTCAATTGGGGATCGCTTTTCCCCTTCTTTCTGACCTTCCCCATGCAGTATTCTTCACATATAACAAGCCTTAGAATTTAAAAAGGACCAAAAAAAAAAAAAAAAAGAAAAAAATCCCCCAATGATGCAAAGAATGTAAAGAAATAAAACAGGCCTAGAGTTTAAGAGATTTATTAGATACTAAATACAAAAATAAAACCATCAAAATTGGGACCCCAAATCTCCCACCCCAAACCCCATAAAAACATTTCACATAGACACACCATGGCTAGCAAAGACTAAAAAGATGCAACGCTTCCAAAGTGACAGATGCTCAGCTTGAAAAAACTGATGACTGGGTCCAATGAGCCCATTTCTGGAGGAGCCCACTGTTGGCTCAGTCCCAGCACTAGGCCAGAACCTCTAGCCTTCGGGACCAGACGCTGAGGTCAGGAGTGCCCTGAGCAGGTGAGTGGCGGCAGCGCACTTACTCTCTCTGTGCATCCTCCAGTTGCTTCACGATCAGATCCTGCTTCTGCTCCAAGAGCACGTGATAGAACCGGTGCATGGCTAGAGGGTCCAAATGGGGACAGAGAAATGAAGGTTGAGTGGGTCTACGGTGGCCTCCAGACATCTGTAGGTCATGGCAGACCACCACAGAGCCCTCGTTCAGGGATGCTGGAGTTCAGGCCTCCCTTGTTTGGGGTAGGTTTCCAAGTCTACCTGCCGCCTCCCCAGGGGCTCTTGTTAGAGCTCCGTTATCACAGCATCTGCCTGCCAGACACCTTCAGGTCTCGTATTAAACCCTGTAACCTGGCTTATGGCCTTGGCCTCATCAGGTTTTCTACCTACCTCTAGTGTTCTTTTGCTCCGTCCATTCTCCAAAAGAGGTTTCTATAACATAAATGTTCTCTCGTTAACGTTCCTATTCCCAGCAGGTGGAATAGTGTCTGGCATGTGGTGAGTTGCAATAGAAAATTGGTAAAATAAATGTCATATTCCTCATAACCTTCAGAAGAGAATCTGAAATGCCACAGTATAGCATACAGGGACTTCCATGGCCCTGTGTCTCACCTACCAAACCGCAGCCGCACAAGGGCAGTATCCCGCTCTGATTAGCTGATAGTCCCAGTGCCCTGCTCAATGCAGGCACAGAACAGATACCCAAAGGCTGCAGTGTTCAAGTGCCTATCTGTTCGTGTTTGCAAAGGAGCTTAAAGATAGCAAAGTCAGGTGCGCCTGGATGTCTCAGATGGTTAAGCATCCAACTCTTGGTTTCGGCTCAGGTCATGATCTGACCTGAGGTTTTAGGAGTTCAAGCCCAGGTCAGGCTCGGTGCTGACAGTGTGTAGCCTGCTTGGGAATCTGTCTTTCCCCTCTCTGCCCCTCTCCTACTCACACTGTCTTTCTCTCTCAAAATAGACTTTTAAAAAATGAAATAAGTCAGGCAGAGAAAGACAGATACCATATGTTTTCACTCATATGTGGAACAGGAGAAACTTAACAGAGGACCATGGGGGAGGGGAAGGGGAAAAATTAGTTAAGGAGAGGGAAGGAGGCAAACCATAAGAGACTCTTAAATAGTGAGAACAGGGGCGCCTGGGTGGCTCAGTCGGTTAAGTGTCCGACTTCGGCTCAGGTCATGATCTCACAGTTCGTGGGTTCGAGCCCCACATCAGGCTCTGTGCTGACAGCTAGCTCAGAGCCTGGAGCCTGTTTCAGTTTCTCTATCTGTATCTCTCTCTCTCTCTCTCTCTCTCTCTCCCTGATCCCCCCCTGTTCAGGCTGTCTCTGACTCTCAAAAATAAGTAAAAAACATTAAAAAAAATTTTTTTTAAAAACATTAAGAAGAAACTGAGGGTTGATGGGGGGGAAGAAGGGAAAAGGGGTGATGGGTATGAAGGAGGGCACTTATTGGGATGACCACTGGGTGTTCTATGGAAACCAACTTGACAATAAACTATAAAAAAAAAAAAAGGGAAAATGGAACAGATGGTATGGCAGGGCTAGCACTATAGGCTGCTCAAGGCCAAAAAACTGGAAGATTCAGGAACTGGGCGATAGAGTAGCTGGTGAAGAATCTCTGAAGGATGCCAGGATTTGGAGGTCAGGGCCATTCACCTTCTTTTAGCCAGAGGGGCTTCTCCGCAAAGGTGACACGGAACCAGCCAGGCTCCTTGCACATGTAGGTCTTGCCACGGGATAGCATCAGCTTGTGGTCCAGGAAGCGGCGGTGGAGGAGCAGCTCTTCCTCAAAGGTGCACGGGTCCAGGTACTAGGATGGACAGGAGGGTGGAGCTGAGCCCAAGACCCGGCCAGCAGGTCTGCCCAGCAACACTGGGCCTCACTCCCCGAGCTCACCGATTTCAAGTTGATCCAGATGTAGAGGCCGGAGCCACGGTTGAGAAAAGGGATCCCTAATGCCTCCAACTTCTGGGTCACGTATCCATGAGCTTTCTGCAGCCGGGAGCGGTAAGTGGGCAGGTATACTTTGTCAATCCACTCTGGATGGGTGGGGAAAGACAGCTGTCACAGGGCTTGTGGCTGAGAGCTGCCAGAGGGATCCTTACGAAAGGCTCCCTACCAGGGCTTTGGGCCAGCTGTTTCTATTCAAGACTGACTTATGTTATAGTTGAGCTGGTGACCTTTATACCCAGCACGCCCACCACTTGCCTATAGATTGGGTACAGGTATCCAGCTTCTCAATAGTCCTGTAGGAATGTTCTATTTGGGTTTACACCCCTGCTGCAAAAAGTCAGGGTACCTCCTCAGTGGGGTTGATGCTGTTGTCAACTGGGCAAGTCGCAGATAATCAGAGTTCCCCTTACCCCCTGCCTCAGAGCCTCACATGGCGGACTCTGAGAAACGGAGACATGCTTGGGGATGATCTTAGCCCAGTTGTTCTTAGCACTGGCAACACATTAGAACCACTTGAGCTTTTAAAAGTCCCGATGCCCAGGGGCACCTGGGTGGCTCAGTCAGTTAAGCGTCAGACTTCAGCTCAGGTCATGATCTCACAGTTCGTGGGTTCGAGCCCCGCATCAGGCTCTATGCTGACAGCTAGCTCAGAGCCTGGAGTCTGCTTCGGATTCTGCGTCTCCCTCTATCTCTGACCCTCCCCTGCTCATGCTGTCTCTCTCTCTCTCTGAAAAATCAATTAAAAATATTAAAAAAAAAAAAAGTCCCGATGCCCAGGTTATAGCTGTAGATCATCTAAATCAGAATCTTGGGGATAGCACCCACATATCAGCATTCAAGCTCCCCAGATAGTTCCCATGTATCAAAGGTTGAGAACTAGCGTTTGAGGGGCTAGGAACCAGGTTTCTGCCAGATATCAAAGGGCTTGGCACCACCCACCAGAGCCATCTGCTGGGATTTCTCCTATCTACCCTCTTCCCCCTGCCAAAGCTGAAAGCAAGGGGTTTCTAAACCAGATTCTTGAGTTACATTAATTTGTATCATTATATACCAGCTTTTAATTTACATCCTCCAGCCCAGTATCTGCTCTGTTATAGGGAATTAAAGAAAGAAGGCCTTATCTAAGTTTGGGCCATGGCAGTAAATAGAGGGGGTGGGGAGCTGGTGTTTCCTCTGAAGGCAGCATTCACTTGTGATCCATGGAGGAAGTTGAATCCAGGTGCCATAGATCTAACCACACTAACTTGCCCAAATGGCAGCTCTCCTTTGGCCACTTTGGATGATAAAGTCAAGTCATAGTCAAGGAGTTGTGGCATTTTGTGATCTTTGCCTAAAGCAAGCAGGGCATCGGGGAGGGAAGATTGACCTTCACATAAAGACTGATTTGGGGCTTCTCAAGCCTTAGAAGACAATTTGGCTATCCTGTTCCAGGCAGAGCATGACCTCCCAGAGAGCCAGACATGAAGACCCATTTATGTTTCAGACCAGCAACTCCATCTTCTATCTCTGCCCTACTGCACTATCGGAGATGCATCCTGCCTTCCTTCAAAGCTTCCTGTCCTGCCACCAATAAACTCAAGATAGCAGGGTCTCTGTGTTTTAGAGGTATGTCAGAAGCCCAAGCAGAACCAGGAACTCCCCATGGCCATGAGGTCTAGCCAAGATCCCCGCCCAGGATGGGACTTAGTACCTCGGTCTTGGAGCAGCCGGTACAGCTTATGCTGGGCAATGCCAGAAATGCCATGGAGGTAGCCAAAAGAACTCACAGCAGAGGCCACTTCCTTGTTGTGGGTGTAGAGAACACCAAAGCGGAAGCCAGAGATGCCGAAATCCTGGAGGGAAAGAAGTACAGGAAGGAATGCCTGGTCTGCCCATCTCCTGGCTCCCTTTCCTTTCCTACCCAAAGACAGGAAGCTGGGGCTCACCTTACTGGTACCCCAGATCACATGGGTCCTGTTGGGGTCAGGCAAACTGGAGAGGAGACAGTACAGTCACGGTTATGATGACATATGTGAAACATGAAGACTTGGGGTCAATGTGGGGGAGAAGGGGAAAATGGACTTGAGGTCCCTCCTAGACAAAAGGGCCTACGGGGCCCAAAGTTCAAGAAACCGTTGCTCCAGTTAATCCACTAAGTCAACAAAAGGTATCCCCGGTGAACTAGATGGGACAGCTCCCAAGTGCCCCACTGAATGAAGTCCAGGACCCTCAGCCTGGCTCGTGGCCTTCCTGCAGCTGGTCCAAAGCCACCTTTTTAGCAGTTAGCTCTCCACACGTGTGGGCCGCCCACCATTTCTAAAACGTGCTCACCTATTTCATATTGTCCTGTTTTTGGCGAAGCCATTCCTTCTGCTGGGCATGCCCTTGCTTTGCTTTGGCTGGGCCACATACTATATCCTTAAGAAAGTTCTGGCCTAGGGGAGCCTGGGTGGCTCAGTCAGTTAAGCATCCAACTCCGGATTTCAGTTCAAGCCATGTTCTCACAGTTCACGAGATCAAGCCCCACATTGGGCTCTGTGCTGTCAGCACCAAACCTGCTTGGGATCCTCTCTCTCTCTCTCTCTCTCTCTCTGTCCCTCCCCTACTCACGCTCACTCAATCTCTCTCAAAAGAAATAAACTTAAAAACAAAAAACTTTCCCCCATTGCCCCTATTTCTATTCTTTCCCTGTGCACTGCTTATCAAGAAATTCCTCCCTGACGGGCTTTGTGTCAGCAGTGGCCTTTCTACCTTACCATCAAGTTATCTCGTGTACAAAATGGCATTTAAAAAAGACACTTGGGGGGCACCTGAGTGGCTCAGTCAATTAAACATCCAAACATAACCCAACTGGGTCAGGTTATGATCTCCCAGTTTAGGAGTTCAAGCCCCACGTCACGCTTGGGATTCTCTCTCTCCCTCTCTCCTTCTCATGCCCTCTCTCTCAAAATAAATAAACTCAAGGACACTGGGAGGAAAGATGACGCTTTGCTCATTTTCACACTCCCAGTGGCCCTTAGCCCAGCTCCTAGCACATAGCCAGTGGAGTCCATGACTCATGAACCCACCCTGCAAAAGCAGGACCTCATGGTTCTCACTCCCAGCTCCAGTGGAGGCCAACTCACCTGTCCATGCTCAGAACACTGTGGAATGTGATAGATTCATCAAACACAGACAGCATGTAAATCTCATCGATAATCACATGGAGGTTGTACCTGCAGGTTGGGCAAAAGAAGGAGAAGATCTAGGCTCCCTCCAGTCTCCGCTCATGTTCTTTTATGGTCTTCTCTGGATACAGATCAGCTACTCCTACTGCTCTAGTAGCCCATGCAACGCTTCCACCAAGCGGCATGGTAAGGTAGAAGGGGGGTGGCCACCAGAAGGTCTTTAGACTTGCCCTGGGGGTAGGAAGGAATAGGCCTCACAGATACTCAGGAGAACATCTAACTCTTCAACTGTAAAGCAGAGACCAACAAACAGGGAGGGCTGGGTGGCCCAATGAGTTTTATATCTGGGGTGGTCAGGGAGCTCCCACCCAGGGTCTGAATTGAGTAATGGTGTTCAGTGGGCTAAGTGCTAATGCATGTCATCTTTTTGATCTTCTCAACGACCCTCTGAGGCAGCGGTAGGGTCTCCATCTCCCAGATGAAGAAACAGTTCCGGAGACGAAGTTAATTCCCTCAATTAGCAGGTGCGCGAGCTGGGATTGGACCTTAGTTCTGTCAAATTCCAGCCCACAGACTTCCAGTGGCCTCTTGTTATCCCGCTCTGTCATGAATTGGTCTGGATTAGAGTTGTGAAATTCGAAGACGTGTTTCTTCTAGAAAGTTACGTACTCTAAACAATAGGGCTCTTTCAGAACTCCAGAGACAGTGGATGTTAACATGTTTATAGGAATGTGACATGAGGGTCCTCTAGGGACATATCTTCACCCCACAAGATCTGGAAGTCTGTCTTCCTCAGCGCCTCAGGCCAAGTTGTTTGGAAAATGGATGCTGGGAGAAAGTGGTTACACAACAAGAATTGAAAAAGCAAGAAAACCAGATCATAATTGTTATGTAGGTGTCTGTACCTGGGTAAAAAAAAAAAAAGGAGGCAAAATGGCCAAAAATGTAGGGTTGAATCATGTAGGTGCCTTTTCCTTCAATTTCAGTGAGTTGGACAGAGGTTTGCAAAGTATACTTGCAGTAAAAATACTGGGGGGAGTTATGTCTGGTTCGGACTTCTTGACCATGAGTGATCAGAATGCCATTAGGGACTTCGTGTAGCCTCGCAGGGTGGGACTCCTACCTCTTGGCAAACTTGAGGTATTCCTGTAGTGAATCTCGACAATAGACATCTCCCAAAGGGTTCTGAGGGTTGATTAGAATGAGGCCCCTGACCTTTTTCCCCTAAAAACAAACAAAAATACAGAAACCATAACTGAGTGAACACAAGTCCTTCACATCCACCTCAAGTTCAGCCAAAGATCGGGTCAGGACACCCAATTATGGACACCCGACCACAGCTTCATTGGGATCTCAGCTCCTTAGGTGGGTCTTGAACATGCAGCCCCAGAAGGAGCTCTGGAGGCTACCATAGACAGGGCTCAGTGCTCCTAGACATGGCCCCTGGGACACTGCTTCTTCCGAAGAAGGAGCCCACACCACCTTGGTGAGAAAGTTGTACTGGGCCTCAGTCCTCAACCCTTTTCAGGGATGGCAGTGCCCACCCTGAAGACAGAGGTCCCTCCTTACTGCAAGCCTAGCCTCAAGTAGAGCTTGCTCCAACTTGTCCACAGTGAGCCGGAAAGGACAGGGATTCGCATCTGTGACCTGGAAGACAAACACTGCCTGAGAACTGCCTATCTGAAAGCTTCTAAGCCTGGGGTGCCTAGGTGGCTCAGTGGGCTGAGCGTCTGACTTCGGCTCAGGTCACGATCTCACAGTTTGTGGGTTCAAGCCCTGCATTGGGCTCTGTGTTGACAGCTAGCTCAGAGCCTGGAGCCTGCTTCTGATTCTGTGTCTCCCTCTGTCTCTGACCCTTCCCTGCTCACACTATCTCTCTCTCTCTCTCTCTCTCTCTCTCTCTCTCTCAGAAATAAACCATTAAAAATTTTTTTAAAAAAATGAAAGCTTCTAAGCCTTAGTCCCTCATCCTACAAACACTGAACAATCCATCATATCCAGGGCTGCAGCCCCACATGGCTTCTTTGCTCTAATTTCTCCATCTCCCCCCACTGCCACTTATATGGGAGGAAAGAGAGTTCCCCTACACCGTCCAAATGCCCTTAGAGACCTAGGTGGGCTAAGCAGGGGGAAGGGTCCCCATTCTGACCTCACTGTCCAGGTGGACAAGAATCAGCTCGACTTTCGAATACAGGCAGGCACTAAAGGCGAAGCCACCATAAAAGGGGGTAGGAATCAGAAAGGCCTCTGGAAGCACAGGGAGACAAAGCTGTCAGTCCACGGTCCCTCAGTCAGAACCCACGAGGCCCCCCAGACCAGCAGCAACACTATAGACAGAGAAGGTTAGTTTGGCAATCCTGCCTGCATGGGGCTTATTGCTTTTGGGCTAAGGCTGTATAAAATTTACACTCATAAATGTTATTTGGGGAACTCTAGAAAAGTTTCTTCTTTGTGGATATACTAGAGAAGGGAAAAGGGAAGAATATTGCTATGAATGGCTCAGAATCCAGGTTACAAACCAAAATAGGATGCTAGCAGGTGGAGCGCTAGTCATCCACGGAGTCTTACCAGCTCCAGTATGAACACAAGAGGCTGAGGTCTGTGCCCAGAGTTGGCGCTCATCTCTCTGCAAGGCTCAGGTTACCTAGATTTGGTGAACTCATGGGTTCTTTTCTTCCCATGCCTTTGGCCTCATTGACGAGCAAACCAAGGACCCACTCCTTTGTATGAAACCACCATTTTGGTAACTTCCTTCTATGCACCCAGAGCTCATCAAGATCAGAGACTCTTGTTTGGGTGTTGTTAGGAGGGAGACCAAGAACAGATCCCTCAGCCTTGTTTGATCTAGAACCAGTTTTTTTTCTTTTATTTGGGGGGGTTGTGTTGTGTGCGTGTATGTGTTTGTTTCTTTGTTTGTTTGGAGGAGGAGGAGGAGAAGGAGGAGGAGGAGAGGAAATCTTCTGAGCCAGTTTACCAGGGCTCTCTGTATTGGAGTGGAGTCCAGAAGCCCAGCTAAGAATACAATGGGTTGGCTCCCATTGTCACTATTTCTAAAGCATACCTCACTGAGGACCATCACATGTTTTCCTTCCATATTAAATGGTGACCCCAAATCTCTCGCTCCTACAGAAATCGTAGGAAGACGCTCTGATCAATGTAGAAGTCCCAGTACTTTAAGGGAAAGGCCTTGGGTCAAAATATTCTTCTTCCCTAAGGTCTAGTGTCCATATGCTGCTATTTCCTGGAGGGAAAGCAAAGCCCATTAACTTACCACCTGGGTCACACAGAACCATGGCCAGTGTGGAGAACACAGAGGAGCAGCCATTTAAAACAACTACCTGAAGATGCACAGAAAGCAGAAATCAAAACCCAACCCCCATATAAGAACGTCTAGCCCCTTGGTCTCCCTCCCTTTAGGAGGGACAGGCATCAGGAACCTTCTTATCTGGTCCCATTGGCCTTTCCTCCTGGCCCTGAAGATCTCAGCTTGTTCTAGAAAATACAGAGAGTCCCCCAAGAATAAAGCCCTCTACCAGGATGGCAGTGAGTCTGGGAAACGGACTCACATTTTCTGGATCAAGCTGGTCAGGTACTTTGCAGTAGTAGGTCAGGAACTGGGCCACCTCTTCTCTCAGGCTGTGGACAAACCCAGACTTTGTGGTGCCCAGGCCCAGGCACCCTTCCTCATTCAGGATCTAGACTACAGTCTTTTCCAAAGAGCAAGGTATCCAACCTCATGTCACAGGGTCACTGACCAAGGCTATCAACTCCCTGTGTGACCGAGGCTATCACACAGACAGTAAGTGTGAGAGTTTGGAGCAGAACCCAAGCCCTTTGAATTACAGGGCAGTGCTATTTCTAGGACACCAGGCTGCCTCCTGATGAGGCTTCGCTCGAGATATTTTCTAGAGGTTGCTACCTAAAGAAACAGGGAGATAGCCAACCAAGAATCTGGTGCCTTGGGCCCTTCCCTGAATGAGAGCAAGTGTCTAGGGGCCAAGAGACTGGAGATCTGGAAGTTACTTACAATGGCTGCCCTCTCCAATCAGGATACTGCAGCAGGTCATCCTCAATGTAGTTCATATCACTCTGACTCAACTGCGGGCAAACAGAGCATGAGGACAGCCAGCCCAAGGAAGGTCAACAGGCCCCATCCCACTGCTCAGACACATCCAGGTGTCTGCCCTACAACACAGGGCCTTACAGAAGGCGAACAGCGAAACGTGCCCCTTAATGAATGGAGGCCCCAATCCGGTCATAGATTACACAAATATAGAATCGCTGGGGAGTGTGTGATGACCTCCCTGACCCTATAGGGCCAGCGGCTCCCTTGGCATCCACCCACCATATACCCATCCAGGGCACACCTCCAAACACAGACAGTACGCCAGAAGGTTAGATGTGCTATTCTAGAAGCTCTTTTCCCCCTTCCTTCCCCAGACTCCTAAGTCCAACTCCTGTACCTACCACATGCCCAGGAACATTCTAGCGGGTCTAGGTCTAATGGCGGGTCCCAGCACAGCACAGGGCCTGGCTTACCCGTTCAGTCATCAGGTCGAGGCAGAGCTTATTCTCACTGAGCCCAAGGTTAATGAAGCCCTGGAGATGGAAAGAATCTGAGATCAGTCCTCTTGTCCTGCCCTATACGGGCCTCTTTAAACATTCTAGTAAATACACATCCTAGATTATGTCAAATGGAAAGCTCACTGCCCCCATGAGGCAGTTCAATCCACATTTAACAACTTCAAGTGTTAGAAAAATGTCACAGATCCCAAAATCTTACAGCTTGCAAGTTTTCCCCTTCAGAGCCACATAGTACTTATATACCAAATACCAGTCATGGAGTTCTTATTATGTGCCAGACCCTAGACTAAGTGGCCATACATCCCACAACTCTTAAGGAAAGGGTTCTGTTATGATCCCTGACTTAAAGAGAGTGAAGCTCAAAAAGGTTGAATAACTTATTAGCCATGTGACCGCAGCGATGGGCAGAACCCACCTGCCTGACCCAGCACCTGCCTCACACCCATCTCTGCTTCCATGGGAGGGCTCTTCAAGTTATTGGGGGAGATATGGTCCCTCAGAGTCCATATCTGGAGATACTGGGCTCAGTTGGTCCCCAGAGAAGCAGATGGCCATGGACCACATATCACTTAGCCAGAAACAGAAAAGGCGGCTTGCCTAGCACGGTCCTCCATCCTCTGGCTGGAGAGCTGTAGTGAACCGCGGAAGCCTCTCATTGGCTCCCTAACAATTAGGATATCATCCAACATCTCACAATGGCCTGCCCCCCCCCCCACACACACCTCTTGTCACAGCACTCCCTTCCCCCAGTCTAACCACATGAGACCCCTTTACTCCATCACTCTCAGCCCTTCCCACCAAAAAGCTTTCACACATGCAGTTCCTCCTACCTAGAGGGTCCCCCACCACCTCCACCACATGGCTGGCTGATTCAGCCTTTAAGACACCTTAGACCACCCGAAGTGGCCAACCCCTTGTTCACGCAGAATTATTACTCGGGTTCCTTCCCCCAGTGGTTGACTACAGTCATCACTAGATTGAGTTCCAGGACGGCATGTTTGCTTACCGCTGTGACCACAGTGACTCCTAGTGCTAAGAGCAGGAATTCAGGGAAAGCATGCTGGGGGAGGAGGAGAGGCTGGGGGAGCTGGGAGGCAGGGGACCCAGGCATAGCTCTTACTTTTCTTAGGCACATCACCTTGTTTCTGTGCCCATTCCCTTATCTATAAGGCGACAATAGCGTCTACTTTACGGAGCTAAGAAGAGTAAGAGAGCCCAGTACTTGGCACAGGACTCGGTCAATCCTAGTGATTGGGGCCCTTGAGTAAGTGTCTCCCTCACACCCCCATCCTCACCAAGATGTTCTGGTCCTCGTGGTATTTGTCTCTTTGGTAGGTCTTGTAGTCCTGGAAGCTGGAGTGGTATAAGACCGAGATGTCGATCCCACGGCTGGACAGGTACTGGCTGACAAATGTAGCTTCAGGATTGCTCAGTCGGTGAACTAGCCAATCAGGCTGCCTGGATGACTGGGCCCCCTGCCCACCTCTGACATCACCACTAACATCCAGGGAAGGGCAAGAGGGTTGGAGCTCCAGGCCACCCACGGCTCCAGACTGTAGGAGGTTGACCAACTGGTACATTAATTGGCCCAGGAGGGCTTCCTTCTTGCTGACCACCTGACTGTGCCTCTGCTCTTCCAGCACCAGGTCCTGCTGCAGATGCCTGGTTGTTAGGTCCATAAGGTTCTGCTCTATGGTGTGCTTCAAGGACAGCATCATTTCCATCAGGTGGGTGTGGATTCTCTGGTTTCTGAGGCCCTGACCCCTCATCTGGCCACAGGGTATGCGGAACATGCCTAATTGGTGACTCGTGCTCTGGGTATTTGCCTTGGCCTCAGCTGGCTGGCTGGAACCTGCAGAGAAAGTGAGAGACCATGCAGTGCATCAAAGGAGACTCTCCTTAACCCTCAGGAGATCCAGGCTCGATCTCAGGCTCCTCACTGCCTCCTTCTACTACCATGCCTTGGGTATAGGCAGCATGTTGGCTCAGGGAGAATTACTGCCTCATTCAAGGGCAATGCTTGAGTGGTCCCAAGCCCAGACACTGAGGCCCTGTAGTTAAATGGCATTAAAATGTGTTCCGAGGAAGAACATTAGGGCCTGCTTTGAGAAAAAGGGGAAACTGAACAGGTATGCTCTGGGGTCTCCACCCTCTACCTCAATCAGAGCAATTCCTGCTTTACAGTGTTCTAAGAAAAGGGGAATCTGAAGAAATAGAGAAAGAAAGAAAGAGAGAGGGGAGGGGGGAGAGAAAAGGAGGGGAGAGAGAGGGAGAAAGAGAGAGAGAATAAAAAGCCTGAGTAAATTATTCTGCTAGAATAGAGGTTGGTAAACTACTGCCCAAGGGCCAAATCCAGCCACTTCTTTTTTAAATAAAGTTTTACTGGAACACAGTCACATGTGTTTGTTTGCATATCATCTATGGCTGCTTTTACACTACAATGGAAGAGCTGAATAGCTGCGACACAGACCATATGATATGGCTCATAGAGCCTAAAATCTTCATTATCTGACCCTGTATGGAAAAAGTTTGCCATCCCTTGTTCTAGAACATCAGCCCCTCTTTTTTGTCTATTTTTCCTCAGTCCTTCTATCCTTCCTTGTGTCCTTATAACCTTCCTTATAAATGCCTTCAACCTGCTCACTGTGACAGCTGCCTCAGACCTCCGTCACTGGTAACCATGGGCTAGACACACGGTTCTTGAACTTCAAACTTCACCAGAATCACTTGGAGGACTTTTTAGGACAGAGATGCCAAGGCCTCGCTGCCAGATTTGACTCGCTAGGTCTGGGGTGGAGCCTGAGAATTTTCAGTTCGAACAAGTTCCTGAGACTCTACTTTGAGAGCCTCTAACTAGTGAGACCAACCTTTCATCTGAAGAGAAGTCAAAATGATGGGTAAGACCTAAGAAACACCTTTCTAAGCCTCAAAGAATCAACCAAACAAATCAGATCCAAGAAGCCCCAAATGAAGAAAACCTGAGGCCAATGGCTGCCTCTAATTCTTTGTATGACAGGCCTCATATTGCCAGATATGGAGACTTTTTTTCTAAAAACTCTAGATTTACACCCCTTCCACTAGATGCCATATTCTGAGTTCCTATTCCAAGTTCCATTGCCTCCATGTGTAAAGCCTTCTTGCCTCCTACGCAGGTTCATTGCACCAGCGCTTTAAGGTACTGGACACTCCGTCCACCTTCTCCAAACCACGTTCAGTCTGCCTGGGATATTCCCATAGCAATCTATGCTTCCCCTTAATGACACTTAATACTGTTATTTGTTCACTATCTCCCCAGGTCAGCCTTCATCATTATATTGTTAGCACAGTGTCTGACACACAGGGAGCTAGGAGGAGAGGCACAACCACAAGAATGTTGCCAAGTTGTTGAAGAGAGGAGACATAACCGAGGACTTTGCTATAGAAAACGGAGTGGTGACCAGACGAAGCCACAGGACAAAACGGTATGGGGTCTTGAATTAGGGTCCCAATCTCTCATCAGCAATGATACAAAGAACTTCCCTCACCAGAATTAGGAACAGGCATACTGTTTAGCAAGATATTGAACAAATATAAATTCTCACGTCTGGACTAACCTTAGTTCCACAAGCAAAAAGCTTTCTTCTGGCCCAGACTCCCTCCCCGACAAGTAAGAGGGTCATTTCAATGGGGCTCTCAACCCTGCAGGGAAGTAAGTCACACTGTCCTTCCAGATACAGACACCCTCCAACTTAGAATGGTTCAAATCTTGACTTTGACTTTACAGTGGTGGAAAATTGACATGCACTCAGTAGAACATACTTGGAATTTTGAATTTGAACCTTTTCTTGGGCCAGTGATAGGCTGTATGATCCTGTCTCATGAGGCCGGGGACCGGCAGGGAGATGCAGCGCCCAGTCAGCCCCACAATCACGAGAGGGAACAACCATTTACAGCTATCCTGTACCCATACAACCCTTCTGCTTTTCACTTCCAGTGTTCAATAAATTAAATGAGATATTCGACCCTTGACTATAAAATGGACAGTGTTTGAGTATTTGGCCCAGTTGTAGGCCAATGTGAGTGTTCTAAACATATTTAAGGTAGGCGAGGCTAAACTATGATGTTCAGTAGTTTAGGTGTATTAAATGCATTTTCAACTTATAATGGGTTTATCAGGACAGAAGTCCATCCTAAGTCAAGGAAGATCTATACTTGGATAGCCTAGAGGGGTAGCTAAGTGGCAAGAGGGATTTCTGTGGTTTTGCCTTCCAGAAGGTGGTGCCTATTATCCCTGTTGGTTCTGAGCAGTTTGGTGGGAAGGGCCACAATGCTGGACGAGATTTCTCTTCAATGGGCAAGAAGCAGGGGTGTTCTGCTTTCTTCCAGGGCTGGGCTCTCACATATTGAAGGTCTTTGTCCTGTATCACCTTAATAACAAAATCAAAGATGTCACAGCTCTGTAGTTTCCACTAGACCAGCACATGGTCCCAGACTTTAAGCAGTAATTCCAGTTCAGGCTGGATGCAGGGCTCTCTTAGACTTCTTACCGTGGAAGTCCTTGATGTTACCAAAACTCTGCGACTCTCTCCCATCCACCCAGCCCTCAGCCAGGGCCTCCAGGTACAAAGAAAACAGTGATCAGGATCAGGTAGGGAAATTGGAGACCAGTGTGGCCCAGCAAGCCATTAGAGGAGAAAGGCTGCTCGAAGCAGTTACTGTGAGAACCTCTCCAAGCAGGCTTATGAAACAGCAAACAGTGCCACAGCAAGTACCTGAAAGTATATGGTCTTGGCAAATGCATTTTCCTTTATTTTTTTAATGTTTAGCTTTGAGAGAGAGAGAGAGAGAGAGAGAGAGAGAGAGAGAGAGTTACTGGGGAAGGGGCAGAGAAAGAGACACACACAGAGAATCCAAAGCAAGCTCTAGGCTCTGAGATGTCAGCATAGAGCCCAACGTGGGGCTTGAACTCACAAACCATGAGATCATGACCTGAGCCAAAGTCGGATGGTTAACCAACTTAGCCACCCAGGCACCCCCCCCCCAATTTTGTTTGTTTGTTATAGCACAAGTGGGGAAGGGGAAGAGAGAGAGAGGGAGAGGGAGAATCCCAAGCAGGCTCCACACCATCAGTGCAGGGCCTAATGCGGGGCTCAAACTCATGAACTGTGAGATCATGACCAGAGCCAAAGTTGGATGCTTAACCTACTAAGCCACCCAGGCACCCCAAAATGTATTTTCTAATAAGGAAGGGAGTATGTGGCAAGGCCAGGAGGAAACCTGGCAGTTAGACCTCTGCCGAGACGTATATTTTCTAGAAGTAAAGTCTACTGTGAAAAACGTTGGCCCGCAAAGGCAATAATGTCCCTAAACTGTATCAACCCTTCTCTCAAGTCCTCTTGTACATATCCTTGGTTTCAACATTCCCCAGCTTCCAACCATCTACCTATTAAGTCACACTCAGGGGCCTTCTATCACAGCTAAAGGCGGTGTCTCAGAACCAGCCCAACTGATTCCAACAACCCTCTGAACAGAGCCAAAGGGCTTACAACCAGTAGAAGTTGGCAAGAGGGAATGAACATGGGAGATGAGCTAGAACAAGCTCATTTGTTTGCAATGCCAACACATGGCTCCAAGCAGGACAATTTTTATGTCACTTTCCCTAGGACCTTACAAGCTCTTCTGGCTCAGTCTTGCCCTCCGACCTTCCTTCCCTTCGCCATGTACCAGCCTCTCCTGGTGTTCCAGTCCTCAAGCCTCGGTCAGATACTTCCTCCTCATTACGGGAAGTATGATAAGGATTACAGAGCCTCCTTTATGTGCAGGAGAAGCAAGATGTGGAGGAAATAGACCCCTAAAAACAAGTGGCAAAATTAAAATAGCAGGTAAAAGCAACCTTGGAGAGCCTAGATTCTATTTTATAGTTCCTACTCACCAACTGTAGGGTGTCATAAGAATGATCTCCCATGTCTGGGCATCAGTTTCTCTATATGTAAGACAAGAAGTTACCTCAATTCAAGGGTATAAAACTGAAGCTTCATGAAGACGGGTCACTTCTAGACCACGGTAGAGCCAGGATTTGAACCTCAGACCTCCCACGTTAGCCCAGACTCTTGGGAACATGAGAAAGCTAGCCAAAAACCAGCCCTCACATGGACAGCAGCTTGGCTTCATGTCACAGTGCCCAGGAAGTCTCAATTTCTGAAGGTGGATTGACTTCACTTAACAATCTTGTCCTCCTATATTGTTCAGGACTTCGATCCCCTGGGAAGAAGCCAACAAATACTCTGGAAGTGGTTACCTTAGACTTACTTGCATTTTTCAGAGGATAACTTTTCAAATACAGTGTCCACAACACAAAATACAGACACATGAACAAGCAGCATGAGGTAAAGTCAGTACAGACAACAGAAAGACTAAAATGGACTCCAGCTACTAAGGGTAGACTGTAAAATGATTGCTTTTCTCTTCAAGGAGATAAAAACTCAAGTCTTAAAATTGACAGAAGATTGGAAATTATTAAGACAGGTTTGAAAGAAAACAACCAATTCTAGAGGTTAAAATACACTGACCAAAAGTGAAAAGCCTCAGTGACAGAGGTTAGTATCATATTAGATACAGTTAAAGAAAAAATTAGTGACCCAGAAGAAGAGGCTGAAGAAACTTTCCAGAATGTGACATGAAGACACAAAAGAAAGTAAAAGAAGATAGGAGAGAAACTAAAATGTACATATACATATTCATCTGGAGTCCCAACGGAAGAGAAAAATAGAGCAGAAGCAATCTGAATAAGATGTTTTATCAGTGCCAAATAATGAGACACCACAGCATGGATTCAACAAGCCCAACAAATGCAAATTAAAATAAAGCAATCTACATATACATATATGTATATACATATCTATTTAGGAGATTATATATCTACAAAAAGACAAACATCTCAAAATCAGCCAAGAAAAAAAGTTACCCTTAAAGGAATAATA